ATTTTGAATCTCCTCCTTCCTCTTCCTGAATCCTCCTTGTCTCCTAGTCCTGCCTATCTTGCTTTCCAATTGACCAACAGGACTTTATTCACAGAATGACATCTCCCATCAGGTATCCATAATGAAATTGGCTGGAAAAGGTTTGGGCAGCTTCACCCTCCAGCTCTGCAGAACACATACCCTCTCAGGTCCATACCTGAAGTTCTTCCTAAAGGACATCCCACTGTCCTGGCATCTCCAATATCTAAGGGCCTCCACTCAGGCAACTCTGGTTTCATCTTTGCAATTTGACACAATGACCTCTTAAGGCCACTTAAGAACAACCATCCTGCCATACATTGCTTGGATTCATCTGCTGTCTAAAACCATAGAGCAAGACTCTGTGTCCTCCTCAATCTCACATCTTTCATGCTTCCAAAACAGTACAACATGATGACATTGCTAAGTTCTGTCAGTGCAGAACAAAACATGGGGCCTTTGGACCACTTTTGAGCCAGAGTTTGTGTGCTGACTCTGAACACTCTCAGGCAGTTGTTTTTGAGGAGCAAGGAACCCCTTGGGCTACATTCTCAGTTCAAGCTTTCTCCCTTCACATAAATTATCATCTTAACAAGTTGGAGCTTTTGATGCATGGAGTCTCACCCTCAAGGGACTTTTAAGCATTTTTTGAATTGTGTGTGTGCTCATGCACATGAGTGTGAGTGCCCAGAGAAGCCAGAGGCATTGGATCACCACAGCTAGAGTTACAGCCATTTGCAAAGCTGCTTGATGTGGGTACTGGGAAACAAACTTGGGTCCTTTAGAAGAAAAATAAATACCCATATCTACTAAACCACCTTGAGCACATGACTCCTTTCTTACTGCCCCAGTGTCAAGTGTCAGGTTTCTCTTTAATGGCACCAGTTCTTTATTAGAGATGCTGTGTTGTCTGCCTGCTCCTTATCAAACTTTAATCTTGCTCACACATTCTGTAAATGTTACAACTTTGAAGGGAAAGGTGTCCCAGCTGTCAGGAACCAAGAAATACACAAAGACACACCATGCAACAAACCTCACACAAGAGATTAGGAAAGACACAGGAGGGTGGCTGCTTTGCTTGGGAGAGAAGCCCCAAAGGAGAAGCAGAAGGCATACTCTATTTAGGGTTTCTTGAGGGGCACAACACTTTCCAGGGTGGACTGGGAGTGGTGGAATTTGGTGGCCTGATCTTGGGCTGTTTTGTTTGATTTTGTTTGGTTTGCTTTTGTAGGGCAGAGCTTGGCCACCTGTGTCTCAAGGGGCTGGAAAGGCCACTATGGCCATTAGAATAGTCTGGGGCAGGACCTGGCCACTCACTTCTCAAGGAGCTTACACTTCCTCCATCAAATTATTCCATTATCTTTAAATTCAACTTCAAGTTCTCAACATCAGAGAAGAATAAAGCCAGATCCTTGACTAAAACATAACAGAAATGGCCCCTAGCCCAGTTCATAAGACCCTTAATCCCCTCTGAAAACAACTGTTCACATTTTTGGGGGGGTTTCAAGACAGGGTTTCTCTGTATTGCTTGTGAGCCTGTCCTGGAACTAGCTCTGTAGACCAGGCTGGCCTTGAACTCACAGAGACCCACCTGCCTCTGCATCCCCAGTGCTGGGACTAAAGGCCGGCCAACTAAAGGCCCACCAATGCCCAACTTCTCTCAGCATTCTTGTCTTACATTCTCCCACCAGAATGATCCATTAAGCTTTGTTTACAGTGGCTGCAGAGATGGCTTACAAATGCCTGTAATTCCAGCTCCAAGGGATCTAATGTCTGCTGGTCTCCCCCAGAAACCTGTATTCACTTGTACATCCCATCACAGACACATACACATAATTTTTAATAACAAAAACTGCTGGGCAGTGGTGGCACACTCCTTTAATCCCAGCTCTCTGGAGGCAGAGACAGGCAGATCTCTGTGAATTGTAAGCCAGCCTGGTCTACAGAGGGAGTGTCAGGAAAGCCATGGCTGTTACACAGAGAAACCCTGCCATCTTGAGAGATATCTCAACAGTTAAAAGTATTTTCTGCTCTTGCAGAGGACTGGGGTTTAACTCCTAGAACTCTCATTTGGATTCAGACCCACCTATAACTCCAGTTCCAGGGTATCAGACCTCTAGCCTTCATAGACTACAAGCCTACACACACACACACACACACACACACACACACACACACACACACACACACACATAGACACACACACACCCTTAAAAGTTGACTAATTACTTCTATACCCTCCTTTATGACATTTATGGTATAATTTTAGTTGAAATTGTGTGGAATCATGTGTAACTATTGACAAATTTCACTATGACATATTACAAAATATTACATGTAAATATGTTTTTGTTTTCTTGAAAAGTCTCACTGTGTAGCCCAGGCAGGCCTTGAATCTTTGATCTTATCTGAGTCACCAAATGTTAGGATTAAAGGTGTGTACCACTGTACACAGTTTAAAATATATTTGCTACAAATGGGCTATGAAAGGGTTTCATTCTTATGGAGTTGAAGACTGATATACCTTCTACAACCTGCTTTCCTAATTTAAGTCTTAGAAATGGTTAGTAAATGCGGCATGAGTGTACCAGTTTCTAGACTTCATATTAATGGGCATGTGTTTAATTAATTACTCTTCTCACTACTGTGACCAAATCGTGGTCAAACAGCAACTTCAAGGAGAAAGGGTGTTTGGGGCTCACAGTTCAAAGGAATACAGCCCATCCTCATAGGGAAGACCTGTGGTGGGTGTGGCTGGTCCACAGCAGAGGAAGGGGATGGCAGTGCTCACCTGCCCTTTCTCCTTTATGCCCTTTCTACTCCATTGAGACTCCAGCACAAGGGACAGTGTTGACCACATCAGAGTGATTTTTCTGTTATACCTCTAGAAACTCCCTCACAGACACACACAAAGGGGTGTTCCAGTCATACCCAGGTGTTTCTTAATCTGATCAAGTTGACAATAGAAATTAACCATGTTATTTCTAATTTTGTGCATTTGGAAACAATGAACACAACAGAGCCTTCCCATAAGCATCTTTGTAGGTAAGTGCAAGTATCCCTTAGGGGTAGACGCTAGGATATGAATCTGCCACAGCAAAGATTCTAATAAGGGTAGAGAAGGCATCTCAGTGGGAGAGCACCTGCTGATGTGTACACAACCCTGGGCTCAATCCTCAGCAGTGCAGCAACAGATGATTCAATATTTGGAAATGTTTTATTTTAGTCAACTCTCCCTAATTGAGTTGCACATCCATTTAAGTATTGTGTCATAAATGCTACTGGCACAGTTGTTATTCCTTCAGTTGTTAATTGGCAAGTCACGTATTTTATACATTTCTTTCCCTTAAAGTTAAAAACTTGTGTGTACAAATGTACACATCCATGTGTGCACAGCATGAAGAGGTCAGAGGTCAATGTTGGGTGTGATGGGAGATGTCATTCTGTATATGTTTCTCATACTGGTTAATGAATAAAGCACTGTTGGCCAATAGGAACGCAAGATAGGTGGGACTAGGAGACAAGGAGGATTCGAGGAAGTAGTGAGGAGGGTCAGCATGTAGAGACTGGAGAGAGCAGAACCGCCAGCCGCCTCGTCCTGGTAAGACTACGTGGAAATACATAGAAATGGGTTAATACTTAAGACAGAGCTAGCCGATAAGAAACTAGTACCGGGCCAACAGAATTATATCTAATACAGAGTCTTTGTGTGTTAATTGGGGCTGGCGCTGCGGCGGGACCAGACCAGCAGCAGGAGGAAAAACCATACTCCTTACAGTACACATCCATGTGTGCATGTGTGCATGAAGAGGTCAGAGGTCAATGTTGGGTGTATTCCCCAATTGCTCTCTACCTTATTTGAAATAGTCTCTGACCCTGAACTCGCTGATTCAGCTTGACTTCTAACCAGCAAGCCCCAAGGATCTTGTCTCTGCACCCCTACCTCCAGAACTAGAGTTACAGGTATGTGCTTCTTATGAGTGTGCTAATGATCAGAGTCAGGCCCTCACAACTGTGACAAGCATATGAACAACTGAGCCATCTCCCCTGATCCCTGCTTCTTTTTCTAGCTCTTTGCATATTCTTACTATAGACTTTTAATGAACATGTTTTAGACCTGTGATCATTTTTCCTTATTGCTTTGTTTTGGTCTTAAAGACTGTCTTCTCTATAATACCTACATACTCTTCTTCTGTATGTATTTGCTGTAATTTGGAAGATCCCCTTTCACCAGAAATTAAGGTTGTCCCATTCATTCTCTGAGTAAGGAATACTGTAAGAAACAAATATGTTCAATGTGATGAGGTTTTGATTTTGTTTTTGAGACCGGATCTAGTGTAGCCCAGGCTGACATTTAACTCCCTACATAGCCAGAGACGATCTTGAACTTGGAAATCTTCTGTCTCTTCCTCTCAGGTGCTAGGATTACAGGCATGTGCACCCATGCCTGGCACTTGCATTTCAGTTAATTATTTGACTTTGATACAGGGATTAATCTTAGGATCATCAGCATAGTAGGCAAGCACACTACAACTGAGCTCTATCCCTGGCCCTTTTTATAGCCTTTGAGACAGGTTCTCACTAAGCTGTCCAGCACGGCCTTGGCTCTAAAGTTCAGGCAAGCCTTGAACTTGTCATCCTTCTATTTCATCCTCTCTGGCAGCTGGGGTTTTAGGCATCACCAGGCCCAGCTGTCAACATGACATTTTAGCAGATCTTAGTATGTATCAAATAGAGTGTTTTCTAATGCAGATAAGGAGAAAAGCAGGAGGCTCTTTGCAAGCTCACATCAAGGTATGTTTTTAAATGCATCCAATGTCAACCAAATCATTAGGGAATTAGCCCTCTGGTGCTATTCCTTTATCCAGCTAATCAAGAATTGACACTACTCCTAAAATCAAGGCATAGAGATAAAGCTTAGTTCTGCCCTAAGACTGAACTTCAGAGGTGGGGAACCAACTACTTAGCATGGGCTGGGATCATAAACCTAACTGTTCTTTCTAGACTTCAATGCTAGTGTGCAGTTTTGCTTGGTGAAACTTCAAGGTTTACATCTTAGAAGGAGAAGAATGGGCTTGTGAAGATGAGGTAGAGGGAAAAGATGCCTGGAATCCAAGAGTCTGGGCTGCCACAGAAATGGGGTGCCCTGCTTCAGACTCAGCTGGTGGAGCTTCTTGTGCTGAAGACAGGGCTGTGGATCTAGGAGGTATGGCCCCATATCCTGAAGGAGGAGTCTCATAACCCATAGGCGGGGCCTCATATCCAGGGGGTGGAGATCCAGACCCCACAGCTGTAGTTCCGTAACTGGGAGGTGGGACTCCGTAACTGGGAGGTGGGGCTCCGTAACTGGGAGGTGGGGCTCCGTAACTGGGAGGTGGGGCTCCGTACTCCATATTAGGGGCTTCATATCCAGGAGGCAGGACTCCATAGCCCACAGGGGTAGCTGCATATGGAGGAGGGGGTCCGTATATCCTGGCTCCATATCCAGGAGGTAGAACATATCTGGGAGGTGGGGCTCCGTGTCCTGCAGGTGGGATTCCATAGGCAACTATAATAGCAAAAAGGAAAAAAATTGCTACCTTGTGAACCAAGAATACCTGAAGAACTTAAAAACTAATGCCAAGGGAGACATACACTAGAATTCAGTCCTGCTAAAAACCTTTCCTGTAGCCATCACCAGACAAAAGCCTTATTTCTTCTGGTGAGGTGATCTGAATTACCTGAAAATACCCTTCTAGTTAATTGGTCACTACTTAGAGTTGGACAGATACATATTTTACTTGATAAGGTTTGCCATGTTTATGAAAAGAAAACACCCTCAGGGAGTAGTACAATTTGAAAACTAGAAGGGGAAGTGTGATGTTAAAGGAAGAATGGCTCTGGAGAGATGGCTCAGTAATTAAAAACATTAGCTGCTCTTTCAGAGGACCCAGGTTCAATTCCCAGCACCCACATGGCACAACCCATTTGTAACTGCAGCCCCCCTTCCTCAATTCCTCCCAGATCTTACCACCTCTTTCCCTACTTCTTGTTCTCTTTCTCCCCCTAAATCCATAAAACAAACAAACAAAAAAGGTAGAAACAAACAAAAATCATTAAGACAAAACAAAACACAAGCCGTGTTGATCTGCTACTCCTGGGCACAGGGTGTGCCCTGTAGTGTGGCTGATAGACTCAGTGACCCTCTATTGGAGAAAACTGACTTTCCCTTTCCCAGAGGGTATTAATTAGAAATAGCTACTTTGTGCCCACTTCCCCTTCTCCCTGCTGGGATTTTGTATGGTTTGAACCTGTGAAGATCTTGTATGTGCTGTCTGTCTCTATGAGTTATGTGCATTGGTGCCGTTATATCTAGAAGACAATGGTTCCTTGGAATCATCTATTATCTCTGGCTCTTACAATCTTTCTGCCTCCTCTTCTGTGTGGATTCCTGAGCCTTGGGAGGAGGAGTTCTGTGGTCATTTGAATGAAAACAGTCTTCATAGGCTCATATATCTGAATGTTTGGTTCCCAGTTGGTGAACTGTTTAGAAAGGATTAGGAGGTGTGGCCTTATTAAAGGTGTGTGGTGGGGTAGGTTCATACCAGGTCAGTCTTATTCCGTCTACTTATGGATAAGATATAAGAACTCAGCTACTGCTCCAGCACCATGCCTGCCTGCCTGCCACGATGCTCCTTGCGATGATGATCATGGATTCATCCTCTGAAATTCTAAGCAAGCCCTCAGTTTAATGCTTTATTTTATAAATTGCCTTGAATATGGTATCTTCTCACAGCAATAGAACAGTAACTAAGACAGGTTTGATGAAGACATCCCATATAGCACTAAGTGTTTCAAAGTCTCTCACTCTCTGCATGCTGTCCAGTTGTGGGTCTCTGTGTTATTTGCCAACTAGTGTAACAACAAGCTTTGCTGATGAGGACTGAGGGATGCATTGATCTATGGGTGTATCAGTATATTCTTAGAACTCATTTTACTGCTATGTTCCTTTAGCAGAATAATAGTACCAGTTTTTCCTCTGGGCTCTTGATCTATCTAGTCCCAGGTTCTTGGCCACTTTAGCAGTGCAGGTATGGTTCCTTAATGGAGTGGGTCTTAAATCCAATAAAAAAGTGTTTGATTATTCCCATGACATCTGTGCCACTATTGTACTAGTATATCTTGTAGGCAGATTGCACAGGGTTTATAGATGGGTGATACTGGTTACTTTTCTCCTCCAATATTGTGTGAAGTACCTTCAAGCACCATGAACACTATGACTACCTGAAGTTTCATCCTCAGACCTACATGGTGGACGGAAAACCAATTACTGAAATTATCCTCTGATTCTCACATTCCTGTCACAGCATGCATACACATGTGTACATACACACACAAAATAAATGTAAAGAAGAAAACTTTTTCCATTAAAATTTTTTTGTGTATGGTGGCTAGAAAGGAACACCAAGTGTCTCCTTTAGCCACTCGCCACCTTATTGTTTGAAACAGAGTCCCTCACTGATCTCAGAGCTCTCTAATTGGCTAGACAAGCCAGCCAGCAAGTGCTAGGATCCACCTGTCTCCACAATCTCTCAGCACTGGGGTTACAGACACATGTTCTATGTCTAACTTTTTTCATGCTACACAGCCAAAACTCAGGTTCTCGTGCTTACATGAAAAGTACATTAATGACTGAGCAATCTCCCAAGCACCAGTAAACTTTTTGAAAGATTTTATAATTTAAGTAATAAATTATTGAGGCAGAGAATCATTGTACAACCATAACTGGACTAGAACTCCCTATGTAGACTACACTGGCTTTGAACTCACAGTGATCTGTATGCCTCTGCTTCATGAGTGTTGGGATTAAAGGCATCCACAGCCATGCCCAACTCCAGCAAACTTTTATTATTTTTTTGCTTTTGTTTTTTGAGACAGGGTCTCTACATAGCTTTTCCTGGAACTCACTATGTAGACTAGGCTGACATCAAATTCACAGATCCATCTGTTTCTGACTCCAGTAAACTCCAATACAAAAGCATGTACAGTGGCACACGCCTTTAATCCCAGCATTCATGAGGCAGAGGCAGAAGCAGACAGATCTCTGTGAGTTTAAGGCCAGCCTGGTCTACAAAGAGAGTTCCTGGACAGTCAGGGTCACACAGAGAAACCCTGCCTTGAAAAAATAAACAAAACAAAACAAAAAACCAAGCAACCAAACATAAACAAAAAAGAGCTTGGAAACTGTCACTTCCATCCTCACTGTAACAATTCAAAACAGGAATGAGCTGAAGAAAAGTGAACATAGAGGCCAGAACTTGGATTTCAGTGTAACAGTGGTTTATGTGAGGAAAATGAGAACACATGCTTCATTTACTATGAAAAAGCAAAGACAACAAGAGGGAAAGGAGGAAGATGACAGACACTAAAGCCCCTGGCACCCACATCCAGAGCAAACTGAAGAGGCTCACTCCTCAAACCAAACCCTATAATCTGGCTCTATAAATTGATGTATCATGACTAGAATTCAACAAAAAGCCACTAATGGGGCTGTCCTTCTGTGTGTGTGTTTCTCTATTGGTTGGTGAATAAAGCACTGATTGTCCAGGAGCCAGGCAGGAAGCACAGGTGGGGCTACCAGATGAGGAGAATTCCAGGGAGAGGACAGAGAGAGAGAGCTGCCAGAGAGACGCCATGCAGCTACTGAAGGAGCGGCATGCTGGAGCATTCTCCAGGTAGCCAAAACCACAAGGAAATGCATGATTAATAGAAATGGGTTAATAATTGAAAGAGAGCTAGCCAATAAGAAGCCTTAGCCATTGGCCAAACAGTTTATAATTAATATGAGTCTGTGTGTTCACTGGGGCTAAATGGCTATAGCACCAGGTGAACAGAAACTCCGTCTACAGCCACAGATATCTAGGTGTGCTTTTGCAGACCTAAAATCTCAATGCTATTTGGGACTCAATTCAGCATCAAAGGGGATGCTGAATTCAAGGATAAAAAAAGAAGAGTTAGGAATTGTGGCACACAGCTTTAACCCTGAGGCACAGGCAGGCAAATATCTGAATCTGAATCTAATGTTGTCTACATAGTAAGTTCTAGGTCAGCCCAGGCTATGTAGAAACATCCTGTCAAAAACAAAACAATAACAACCACAAAACCCATCCAACTAGAAAAATAAAACCGAAGGGCCAGCAAGATGGCTCAGCAGATAAAGTCACATACCACCAAGCTTAACAACCTATGTTCAATCCCTGGGACCCACATAGTGAAGGAGTGAACTGACTCCCACAAGTTGTTTCAGATATTTCATTACAGTAGCAGAAATCTAACACACAAAGAAATGGGAACTCTGGAAAAGAATTAACATTTCATTATCCGCACTCTGAATTTTGGGTCTGACATCAAAAGCTCTTTTTTAAACACACACACACACACACACACACACACACACACACACACACACACACACGTATCCATGTGTTCCATGACTGTTATAGTAGGAATATAGCATCAGATCACCTGGGGCTGGTTGCAGGTAGTTGTGGACCATCCAACATGGTACTGGGAACTGAACTCCAACTCCTGGGATGAGCTGCAAGGGGTCTGAACAATTAAGCCCTCTCTCCAGCCTCCACAAAGGCTCTCTTGAAACTCACTTTAGTTCATTTTCTTGTTACTGTGACTTTGTGTTCAGTTCATCATTAGTCCTTTAGATATTTTGCAGTCTCGTTTGGTTTCAAGTCTGCCTTCAAGTGACAGGCATTTATAGTCAGTGAAATGTCCCTGGGACATGGATGCCTGTAATCAATATGTGGCAGGATACTTATACATTTCTTTTAATATTGGGTTTCAATATTCTTTTACACAGCAGTAACATTTATCTCAAAAATATCACAAATAAAAGGACTGGTGCCTAGCTCATGTTATTTAGCAGGCCAGGTCTTCATCGAAGCCTGTAGTTTTATCCATCGAAGAGCCATGTTTTCTACTCAGGCTCTGAGTAGGACACTAGCTTCTCACTAACAGGAGTTGGTTGCTTAGACATGCTGTGCTCATATATCCTCATCAAAGTAAGTCTGAAACATGGCACACAGGCAACCTCAGCACTCAGGAAGCTGATATGGTGAATTGTAGACTAGCCCTGTCTCAAGCACACAAAATTACAAACACAGATAATATAATCTGAAATGTAAGTCCAATCATTTGCTGGCTTAACTATTGCGTCTCAAGCAGGAAACAAAGTCATGGAAGCCGCAGACCCTGAGGCTTCTCTTGAAGCAGACCTGAAACAAGGCTGTGGTGAACTGTCTTCAAGTCAATGGCATTCTTTTGCACCTCCTAGGGTCATCTCTTCCTACTTTGGTATGCCTGTGGGGCATCCATGCTCCTCTCTCCACACCTCACCTTGACATGCCTGTGGGGCACACATGCTCCTCTCCCCAGTAATGACAAAAATTCCTAGAGGGCTCATCCAGAAACTTGAAACTCTGAGTGGAACTCCTTGGGCAGCTGAGAAAACAATTTGGCAAAATAACTCTTAATTATTTTAAGTTATATATATATATATATATATATATATATATATATATATAGTAGCTATGATCTTAGTAACAGTATTAACTACCACCTTACATGTGAGCCAACTCTTGTGATACCAATTAAACAATAATATGGACCTTTTCTTAAACCACATACTTCTTGAGAGCAGAAATTTTGTCTCATTGCCTGCGGTTATTTAGGATCATACATGTATGTATGTATGTATGTATGTATGTTATATTGTTTTGTTTGTTTGTTTTTCAGTGTATCCCTGTATGTCCTGGAGCTCACTTTGTAAAACAAAACTGGCCACTCACTCAGCAATCTGCCTGCCTCTGTCTCTGGGGTGCTGGGATTAAAGGTGTGCACCACCACTACCCAGCTGTATCGTAAGGTTTTATGAGCATTAAACTGAAGGTAGTAAAGGGCTAAGACTACTGACCAGCATAGAAAACATTAAAAAGTACTCAATAAATGACGTTTTTAAATTGAACTCATTTACTTTCAAACTTACCCTGACTATGGGTCTTGACCATGATATAGAGCATCATAGTCCATTCACTGTACTTAGACAGTTTATACTCTTCCATCTTATCTGGGCACCATAGTCAATGCTTCTATTAAAGCAAATATATACATATCTGCAAATGATTTTTATTAGGCTGTGTTTTCAACATCTAGATTGGGGTTTGAGGTGGACAACAAAAAAGAAAGGGAAAGAGTCTTCCTGACAGAACAAAATGACAACTCAAGAGTAGAGTGGATAAGGCACAAAGTGCAGTTTGACTGGATTGTAAAAGAGTGTGTGGCATGAAGTGGAGCTAGATGGGACAGAAACAGCATAAATGAGTGTCAGCCTCAGAAAGCACTCTCTGGTATGGTCATGAGGTCAATATTGTAGGACAGATGGGGCCCCTAGCCCCTTTCGTGGACAATAAGAACAACAGAAGATAAACAAGGGCAGGGCAAGGAGAGAAGATGGAAGGACAGGTGACTAAGCCTTCCCCAGGTTAGGCTTCGGGAATTGACAAAGACTTTCTCTGGTCCAAGTACAATACTGATGAGTACAGAAAAGCATCCACTGGAACGTCATGTTCCCAGGACCAAGCCATGCAGGAGGTAGCACAAAAGACCACCAGTTTTAGGTTAGCCATGTAGGGATCTGACTACAGGCTCCCAGCTACTCCAGGCCAAGGTGAGGTAAATAAGCACACAGTGTGGATTTGACACATAAAAGGTAATGGGAGAGTCTTGTTGAATTCATGTAGAAGCACCAAATGCCTAAGCACAGGCTAGTCAAGCTCTGCTGACTAATAGTACTATTTCAACTCTTTAACCCCTAAAGTACTTACTGTGTTTATCACTCACCAGCAGAGGCCGCTTTGGCCATCAGCTGGGCAAAGTCGATAGCACCTCCTTTCCTGAAGACTATTTTGAAAGTAGCAGATCCTTCCCAGCCACCTGGGGGATAGCAAATACTTATAAACCCTGAGGAACACACTCTCAAACCAGTTGATCAGCTTTGGTTTAAATTCTAACATGAAACAAGTCAGAATCTTAAAGTTTCTGGAAGCTTCTGTGGAGCATAGGGAAGGCCCTTCTAAGCGGAAAAGCTTACCATCTGCAGCTGCCTGAATTGTCCCTTTAATGTAGTTTGCACCAAAGACTGGTTGTTCAACAGTGCAGTTATTCATTAAATGAAATGGCATCATGAAAGACAACATGGGATCACTGCTTGAAGGTGAAGTCACAAAAATCACCTAAGTGAGGAAGGAAACTTTGGAAAAGGAATACAGAATTTGTCCATGGACTTGCAGAAGCAAGGCCAAGGTCACTTGGGTACTGTAGCCTAATGAGAAACATCATCTCTTTTCTTCCATCCTTCAAAATGGAAGTCTCAAAGTAACAATGTTTTAAAACATTTTAAAAGCCAATGTTTAACTTTCTTTTCAGCTAAATTAAGGAAAACAAATGTTAGCTAATCAGCCAATCAAAATGAGTGTAAATTACCCGGTATGAGGTGAGAAACAGCGCCCCCCTCTTTGTACCACTGAAGAAGTTGGAGCCTGGTGGTGACTGAGGGAAGGAGAGGTCCACATCTGAACACTTCTTCAAGAGGCTGCAGAAAGGCAAGGAAGACAGCACATGTTTAAAAGCACATAAACCAACACACAGGGCTGGGGATGCAGCTCTAGTCTAAAGCACTTGCCTACAACATGCTAGGCCAAATGTGACCCCCAGCACCACCAAAGATGACAACAAAATGGTACAAGCAAAGGTATCAGTCAATAAATATTAACTGCGGCCAGATCTTTGACCCCCATCGCCCAGTCTCTGCTAGAGGTGAGTCTGGGACCAGTTCAGGTTGAATCCCCCCCAACAACCCTTCCCTGGCAACTCCCTGGATTGGCCCTAAATCTTCCTTCCTCCTGTGTCCTGTCCCCAGTAACAGGACACAGGACAGCTTTGATACACACCCACCCATCTCCCCATGAAGAGCCTGCCCTCTCCCAATCCTGTGCCATACCCTGCCCACTGTCCCACCGCTCTGGATGAGCACTGGGACAGAGGGTGGATCCAACAATCCTGCCACCTTCAGGGAACTTCCTGGAGCTGTTCTGAGCACACTGGACCTGCCTACCCACACAGGACCACCTTGAATCCCTGCCTGCCTGATCTCTGACCACCACCGCTGGTCCTCTGCTGGAAGACAGAATCCATCCATCTGCTGCATACAAGAAACACATCTAAGCTTCAAAGACAGACATTACCTCAGGGTAAAAGGTTGGGAAAATATCTTCTAATCAAATGGACCCAAGAAGCAAGCAGGTGTGGGTATCTTAATATCTAACAAGTTAGATTTCAAACCAAAATCAATCAAAAGAGATGAAGATGGCATTTCCCATTCATCACAGGAAAAATCCATCAGCACAAAGTCTCAGTTCTGAACATCTATGCCCCAAATACAAAGGCATCCACATTCGTAAAAGAAATGCTACTAAAACTCCAAGTTCACATAAATCCTCACACACTTATACTGGGAGACTTCAACACCCCACTCTCACCGCTAGACAGGACCACTAGTCACAAACTTAACAAAGAAACAAAAGAACTAACAGAAGTTATGTCTCAATTGGATTTAACAGACATCTATAGAACATTCCATCCAAACACAAAAGAATATACCTTCTTCTCTGCTCCACATGGAACCTTGTCTAAAATCGACCACATACTAGGCGGCACAACAAACCTCAACAGATACAAAAAAAATTGGAATAGTCCCCTGTATCTTATCAGACCACCATGCTTTAAAGTTGGAATTCAACAACACAAATCACAGAAACCCTACAAACTCATGGAAACTGAACAATGCGTGATTACACCACACCTGGGTCAAAGAAGAAATAAAGAAAGAAATTAAGGACTTTGTAAAATTCAACAAGCATGAGGACACAACATACCCGAACTTATAGGACACCTTGAAAGCAGTGCTATGAGGGAAGTTCATTGCACTAAGTGCCCATATGAAGATAACAGAGGATAGTCACATTAGAGAATTAACAACACAACTGAAAGCTTTAGAACAAAAAGAAGCAAACTCACCCCAGAGGAGTAGACACCAGGAAATAATCAATTTGAGGGCTGAAATCAATAAAATAGAAACCAGGAAAACAATACAAAAAAAAAAATCAAATGCAACAGTTTGTTTTTCGAGAAAATCAACAAGATAGACAAACCTTTTTCCAAACTAACCAAAAGCAGAGAGAGAACATGCAAATTAACAAAATCAGAAATGAAAAAAGGGACATAACAATGGACACTGAAGAATTCCAGACAATTTTCAGGTCATACTTTGAAAACCTGTACTCCACAAAATTTGAAAATTCAAAGGAAATGGACAAATTTCTGGATAACTATCACTTACCAAAATTAAATCAAGAACAGACAAACAACTTAAATAGACCTATAACCCCTAATGAAATAGAAGCAGTCATTGAAAGCCTTCCAACAACAAAAAAAAAAAAAAAAAAAGCCCAAGGCCAGATGGCTTCACTGCAGAATTCTACCAGAAATTCTTATTTCTGGTAGCTAATATCAATACTCCTCAAATTGTTCCACACAATAGAAACAGAAGATTCATTACCAAACTCTTTTTACAAGGCCACAATCACCTTGGTACCCAAGCCACACAAAGACACAACTTAGAAAGAAAACTACAGACCAATATCCCTCATGAACATTGATGCAAAAATACTCAACAAAATACTGGCAAACTGAATCCAAAAATATATCAGAGAAATCATCCACCATGACCAAGTAGGCTTCATCCCTGGGTTTCAGGGATGGTTTAACATACGAAAATCTATCAACGTGATCCACCATATAAACAAACTGAAAAAGAAAAACCATATGATCATCTCCCTAGATGCTGAAAAAGCCTTTGACAAAATCCAACACCCTTTCATGATAAAGGTCTTGGAGAGGTCAGGGATAACAGGAACATACCTAAACATAATAAGAGCAATATACAGTAAAACAAAGCCAACATCAAACTGATGGAGAGAAGCTTAAGGTGATTCCTCTAAAATCAGGAACAAGAAAAGGCTGCCCTCTCTCCATATCTCTTCAATATTGTACTTAAAGTTCTAGCTAAAGCCATAAGACAACAAAAGGAGATTAAGGAGAAACAAATTGGATTGCAGATGATATGATAGTTTACATAAGCAACCCAAAAAACTACCAGGGAACTCCTACACCTGATAAACACCTTCAGCAAACTAGCAGAATACAAGATAAACTCAAAAAAATCAGTAGCCCTACTTTATTCAGACAAAGGGGCTGAGAAAAAAATCAGAGAAACATCACCCTTTACAATAGCCACAAACAACATAAAGTATCTTGGAGTAATGCTTATGAAACAAGTGAAAGTCCTATATAGCAAGAACTTTGTGACTTTAAAGAAATTAGATACCAGAAAATGGAAAGATCTCCCATACTCTTGGATAGGTAGGATAAACATAGTAAAAATGGCATTCTTGCCAAAAGCAATCTACAGATTCAATTCAATCCCTATTAAAATCGCAGTATAATTCTTCACTAACCTTGAAAGGATAATAATCAACTTTATATGGAAAAACAAAAGACCCAGGATAGCCAAAACAACACTGTACAATAAAGGGACTTCAGGAGGCATCACCATCCCTGACTTTAAGCTCTACTACAGAGCCATAGTCCTGAAAACAGTCTGGTATTGGCACAAAAATAGACAGGTAGACCAATGGAATCGAATTGAAAATCCTGATATTAACCCACACACCTATGAACACCTGATTTTTGACAAAATAGCTAAAAGTATACAATGGGAGGAGGAATGTATCTTCAACAAATGGTGCTGGCACAATTGGATGATGGTGTGTAGAAGACTGCAGATAGACCCATGTCTATCGCCATGCACAAAACTCAAGTCCAAATGGATCAAAACCTCAACATCAATCCAGCCACACTGAACCTCTTAGAAGAGTAAGTAGGAGGTACCCTTGAACAAATTGGTACAGGAGACAGCTTCCTGAACATAACTCCAGTAGCACAGACACTGAGAGAATCAATAAATGGGACCTCCTCAAACTGAGAAGCTTCTGTAAGGCAAAGGACACAGTGGACAAGACCAAACGGCAGCCCACAGACTGGGAAAAGATTTTCACCAATCCTATATCTGACAAAGGGCTGATCTCCAAAATATACAAAGAACTCAAGAAACTAGTCAACACAACAACAAATAACCCTATTTAAAAATGGGGTACAGAAATGAAGAGTGAACTCTCAATAGAGGAAATCAAAAAGGCTGAAAGACGTTTAAGAAAGTGCTCAACATCCTTAGCTATCAGGGAAATGCAAATCAAAACAACTTTGAGATACCATCTTACTCCTGCCAGAATGGCTAAAATTAGAAACACCAATGACAACTTATGCTGGAGAGGATGTGGAGAAAGGGGAACACTCCTCCACTGCTGGTGGGAGTGCAAAGTCATACAGCCATTTTGGAGATCAGTATGGAAGTTCCTCAGGAAAATGGGAATCAGTCTACCCCGGCAATCCCCCTCTTAGGCATATACCCAAATGATCCACATCCATGCAACAAAGGCATGTACTCAATTATGTTCCTAGCAGCATTATTTGTAATAGCAAGAGCTTGAAAGCAACCTAGATGCCTCTCAACTGAAGAATGGATAAAGAAGATGTGGCACATCTACACAATGGAATACTACTCTGCGGGAAAAAAGTAATGGAATCTTGAAATTCACAGGTAAATGGAATGGGACTTGAAGCAACCATCCTGATGAGGTAACCCTCACAAAAAGAGAGCATGGTACGTATTCACTCATATATGCATTTTAGACATGAGCAAAGGATCACCAGCCTATAATTCACACCACCAGAGAAACTAGGATACGAGGAGGATTCTAAGAGATTCATATAAGGTCTCACAGAAGGGGAAAAGGAGATCTTGTGATCTCCAGAGCATATGGGGGGGGCAGTGAGTAGAGAGGGAACTAGGAGAAAGAGAAGGGAAGGAGAGGAAAGCACTTCGGACTAAGAAGATTAAGTCAGGGGAGGAATAGAAGACAGGAGGGAGAGAGAGAGGGAAAGAGAGGAAAAGAGAGAGAGGGAGAAAGAGAGAGAGAGAGAGAACATAAAAGAGGGAGCAATTATAGGTTTGAAGAGAAAACTGAACCTAAAGAAATGTCCAGAGACCTACAAGACTTACCCCAACTAACAAGTTGAGCAACCATGGAAAGGCTACCATAAATGCCCTTCCTGGATAGTGAGATCAACAACTAACTTATCTACCATCATGGAGCCCTCATTTAGTAGCTGATGGAAACAGAAGCAAACACCCACAACTAAATGCTGAGCAGAACTGGAATCCAGATGCAGAGGGAGAGGACAAGACCAGGTTGCAGAAACACAGAGACAGCTGACCTGAACAAGGAGGAGCTAACGGCCCCCCAGACTGATAGCTGGGAATCCCAAGTGGGACTGACTCAGGCCCCCTGAACATGGGTCTCATCTAGAAGGCCTGAGCAGTCTAAGGGACCTCAGACAGTGGAACCAGGATGTATTCCTGGTGCACAAAAGGACTCTGGGGGCACATCCCTCATGGAGGGATACTCCCTTAACCTAGAGACAGGAGAGAAGTCCTAGTCCTACTCCAAATGACTTGACAGATTTAGATGAACCCTCCTGGAGGGCATCACCCTACATGTGGAGTGGGGGGTGATGAGAGGGGAGGGTGGTCGGGGGGCATTAGAGTGTGGGAAAGAGGGAAAGAGGGAGGGAGGGAAGGAGAGGGAACTGGGATAGATATGTAAAATAAAAAATTAATTTATAAAAAATAAATAAATATTAACTGCTCCTCCTATTTTAGGGAAATGAAAAGGATTTAAACACTATTATTATTGGATAATTTACTCCTAGTCTTCTTTTTAAAAAAGATTTTATTTGGACTGAAGCAATGATTCACCAGTTAAGAACTCTGGAAGAGGACCCAGGTTTGATTCCCAGCACCCACATGGCAGCTCACAATAGTCTGTAACTCCAGTTGCTTCCAGGAGATTTGATGTTGTCTTCCAATCTCCAAGGGACCTGAATGCGCATGATGCAAGCAGACATGCAGGGGAAACATCCAAACACACAAAATAATCATTTTAAAATAAAATGATTTTACTTTGATTCATACACTTAAGTTTATATACGCATGTGTCTGTGTGAGTATATTCCACATGTGTGTGGATATTCACAGAGGGCTGGAACTGGAGTTACAGACTATTATGACCTAGTAACATGCTGGGAACTAAATTTGGCCCCTCTAGAAGAGCAAGAAGTGCTCTTAACCATTATGTTATGTCTTCAGCCCCTCTTCTCCCTTTTTATTACTGGACTTTATCTTTCCTAACTTACTTCTATTCTCAGCATTTGTCACTAGTGTTTAGCTAGTAAAGGCAGCAAAGCACAGACAGACATGTCCACTCCCACCCACCCCTGAACATTACTCTGGCTTCACTCCAAATATGGACAATTTGGACTTGTGCTCCCCTCACTCACAGAATCTAGGCATTTTTCAATTTACTTGTTCAGTGTCCTCTCTGATGATTATTAGAGACAACAACCGCCTGCTTCACAGTTAGTAAGTTACTAAGTATTTATTTTAAGAAAATGAAAAGGAGAAAAGGAGTGGAAATGTGGACAGGGAGCATAATGCAGGTAACAGGGGATACACATCGTGTATATGGCACAAAAATGTCCCAGTAATTTAACAGGAGGGATTATTTGTGGCAGAAACAAGTGTAAAAGATCTCATAGAAAGGACACAGCTGAAGATGATTCTTAAGCAATAGGTAGTGTTTAAATAGACAGAGGTAACAGTACAAGAACAACTCAAATGGGTAGTCACTGGCATTAATGGAAATGGAGATGCAGATAATGGAACACAAATTGCCTCCTTGGGAGGAGAGGACCATAAAGATGAATGAACCAAGCCACACATGAGTAACATTGGGAAGAACAGCAAGACCAAGTTGGAAAGCTGTCTGGGATCTGAGCTTGGAAACTCACTGGACAGGCAAGAGGAACTGCAAGCTCTAGGTTTTTCAGCAGGCAAGTCAATGACTGAAAAGGGAGTGATATAACTCAAAGGGTCAGTTTAACATCATGAAATAATTATACATTTACAGTGGTAGTGACAATATATAAAACTGTAATTTGTGACAGTGAAGTTTTGGAAGTGAGCAGAGGACAAAAGATAGGACAAAAGATTTTGTATATTATTGAAAGTAAGTTGGTACTGATTTGAGTTATATTACTGTAAATTAAAGTTGTTAATTATAACCAACAGGTCAAACACAAAAAAATAAATCACGAAAGTAAATACAAAACAGGAATCAGAATGTAATTAAATGGCATACTAGGGAAAATCTCAGATACAATAGGCAGTAGTAAAGGCGTTAAGGAACACAAAGGAGAGAAATGTGTAAAAAAAAAAAACATGACAAAATTAAAGATACTGAGTCCTTTAACAACTACATTAAATATAAATGACTATCTGCTAGGCATAGTAGTACATACTTGATCTCAGAACTTGGAAAGCTGAGGCAAGAGAATAAAGAATTCAAGAGGGCTAAGGAGATGGCTCAGTGGATAAGAGCACTTTTTGTGAAAGCAACAAGACCTGAGTTCAAATCTCCATCATCCATTCACCTGTAATCTCAACATTGGGGAGGAGAGACAGGCAAATCACAGGAGTTCATTCACTGGTCTAGCTGAAATAGCAAGCTTCAGGGTCAGTGAGAGATCCTGCCTCAGAAAATGAGGAGAGTGAAGAAGACACCACTGTACTCCTTACAAAAACACATGTACACACACCTAGCAGCCCAAATGCTTGCATGCATGCATAGAGTTCAAGGCTTTCATCCTTGGCATATATAATGATCCCCTGGGCTCTGTAGTAAAACCCTGTCTCAAAAACAAACAAGAAGAAGAAAACAAAAAAAAAACAAAAAAAAAAAAAAAAAAAACAGGGTTAGAGACATGGCTCATGGTAAAAGCACTTACTGATCCTGGAGACCTAGGTTGTATTTCCAGTACCCATGCAATGGTTCACAACCAACTATAACTACAATCCCAAAGGATTCTACATATGTCTGGCCTCCACAGGCATTGCACATACATGGTACAGACATAAATGCAGGCGAAACACCCATACAAAACAAAAATAAATCTCAAAAACATGTCTTAGGATTTTATTGCTATGAAGAGTCACCATGGCCATGGCAAATAAAGGAAATAATTTAATTGGGGCTGGCTTACAGTTCAGAGGTTCAATCCATTGTCATCATGGTGGGAAGCATGGCAGCATGCAGACATGGTGCTGGAGAAGGAGCTGAGAGTTCTAGATTTGGATCAATGGGCAGCAGAGAAATGGCACTGAGAGTGGCTTGGGCTTCTGAAACTCCAAAGCCCACCTCCAGAGACACACCTACTCCACAGTGCCATTTCCTATGGCTGTGGGGGCCATTTTCATTCAAACAAAACATAAAACTTCTCACATAAACCATCCAAACATTAATAAAGCTTTTATAATAGGATAATAATAGCATTAGTATGATAGTGTTTTCCTGTGTGTATTAAAATAAAATCTAGGTTAATTACTGACAAGTCTTGATTCTTATTATAACTTGAGTATCTCTTAATGAAATATTTAGAATCTGAATAGTTTGGAGGAAGTGAGACTCAAGTCTAAATGTGGCATTCATTTGTAACTTGAAGAAGATAGCTTCATATAATATTTTAAACAATGTTATGGATAAAATAAAAGTATCATAAAGTGAAAATTTCCAGATGAGGTATTTGGTGGTACTCCAAGGGTTTGGGGTTTTTTGCTTTTATTTGAGACTGGGTTTCTCTGTAAAACAGCTCTCACTATCCTGGAACTTGTTATGTAAACAAGGCTGGAATGTCCTGTCTTTGAGACAGGGCCTGGCTATATAGCCTAGGCTGTCCTGGAACTCACAATCCTCTTATGTCAACCTGAGTACTGTAAAGTTTTACCTTCAGGTATGGACCACCACACCAGAATAATTATTTTTAATTGTGTGTATGCCCTCTATGGGAAGTGGGGTGGTATATGATGTCTGTAGGTACCCTTAGAGGCCAGAGCCCTCTGGAGCTAGAGTTACAGGCAGTTGCACTCCATCTAGTGTAGGTTCTGAGAACTGAACTTGGGTCCTCTACAGGACAGAATATGCTCTTAACAGATGAGCCATCTCTTCAACCCTAGTGGAGCATTTAAGATTTTGGATTTTCAGATCAGGGATGTTCAACCTGTACTGAGAGAAGACATGATAGAAATATAATACTTTAAATTTGAGTCCCACTGCCAGATGGGAAATAAAGAAAAATTAGCAGAGATTGTCCAGAAGAGGTAGAGACACTGTGTAAGGAAAGTGGGTGAGGGATGGACTAAAGAAGGGACTGGGGTCAAGGTCTTAAGTTTGTCTGGAAATGAACTTCTCCTGACAGAGCCACTTTACAAGTCCCAGCTTGTAAGAGGTTGAGTGCGCCATTCTTCCCGGACACCCCTACTTTTGTTCCCAATCTTTTCAATGATGATGACACTGTCATATCACAGGTTGAAGCAACAAGGAAAGGGAGCTTTGGAGAAATTCTGAGGAAGGCTCTCAACAGTTTAGGATCTTTCTGTAGTTATCCACATCCTAGCCTCTCTTCCAATTCACATGAGGTGCACCCAGTGCCCTCTGGATGACAGTCACCCCGTAAAGTTGTACACTGTCAATGGTGGCCATGCCACGAGATCCAAGGTCTGACCCGCTTTTCACAAGTCCCTCACTCAGACCTTTCTGAGGATGCAGGGCTCAGAGGAACGTGCCCTTAAAGGGCGGGAAAGTCCTTGATTCGCCGAGGGCTTTCTAGCACACGCAAGTGTACCCCTGAGCATCTCCTCCCTCCTCGACAGCAGCCTGGAAGTCCCTTCAGGCACCTTTCGCCACGTGGGATGGTGGTCCCACGGCGGTCCACTGTATGGCTCTGGTTCACTGCCATCTTGGTCCCCTCCCACCGCCGCTCGTCCGTCAAATGGGAGAGGGCGGGGCCTACAAAGCAGGGGCGGGGCCCTGAGGACAGGGCAGAGATTATGGCGCAGAAACCTGGAGTTGAGTGGGCAGCTGTCACAAGAGGAAGTGGCGGAGTCAGGGATGAGAGATCCCTGAGGGACATGTCCCTGGGACTGGCTCCACCCCTAGAGCCAGGAGAGGCTGAAGGATGAGTGCATGGATCTATCCTACAAACTCAGGCCCTATTGGTCCTTCTAGGAGTTGGGAATTTTTATTTTAAAAGCAGCCATTAGCCCAAAATCTCAACCCAGATTACACTAAACCAAGGGTCTACGTTCCTCTGCTCTTTTAAGACCAGCGCTTTCTCCCATCAAAGAAGGCCTAGAATCAGAACTGATAGTCTTGTGAGAGAACATCCAGAAACGGTCAGGAAGTGGACTGTGAGTTTCAACCTTCACTGGTTCCAATTCCGGGATCCACTGAGCCTTTTTAGTCGTCTCACTCATCGTAGAGTATTAATGTGCCAGTGAAGAAACAAAAATTGCCAAATAATCAGACATGTCCTGATTTTAGATTTTTTTCTTTCGTTGTCTTTTGAGACAGAGTTTCTCTAAGTAGCTCTGACTGTTCTGAAACTCACTCTGCAGACGAGACTGGCCTCAAACTCACAGAGGTCCTCCTGCCTCTGCCTCTGAGTGCTGGGTTTAAAGGTGTGTGCCACCACACCTAGCACAGATTTTTTTTTTTTTAAGTACAAGACTTAATAGAATTAAAAATTCAGTAGGAATAGTATACAGCAGTGGAACAAACATCAAGATCCAGCCTCTCCTGCCACGGCCAATGCAACCTTAAACAAGAAGATTGTGTTCTCTGGGCTTCACCTTCCGAATGTGTCTGGTGATCAGAAGAGTGCTTGGGTTTCTCATGGCTCTGATGTTAATGTCCACCAAACAGCTGTCTTTCAAATTCACTTCCCCTCATCTGTGTTGTGTTGCCACTTGTTGCCATCTTCATTATTTTACCTGAATGATTACAAGAGGCTCTTGACTCATCCTCTTCCAATCTGGCCCCTCCAGAATGTTTCTCCTCACTCATTCATACCTTATGTTCACCTCACATAAGGTCAAGGTCCCAAATGATTACTTATAGTTCACATTAAAATTTAGGAAAATAATAACCAGATGAAAGTGATGTTTAATAAGCTACAAGTGGGGCTTGTAAACTCATCCTAAACTCAAGAAAAGGGCCAGTGTTTAACTTCATGTGTACGAGTAGTATATATGCGCATGTGTGTTTGGCTGTGCATGCCTGTGCGCACTTGAAGAGGCCAGAAGAGAGTGTCCTATCATTCTCTTCTATGCTTCCTCAAGAAAGAATATCTCACTGAACCTGGAAGCAGGCTTGTGACCAGCAAGCCACAGGTCAGCATGGGACCATACCTGTGTTTTTTACGTGGGTGTTAGAGGTCTGAATTCAGGTCTTCATGCTTGTACAACCATCACTATTACTAGTTGACCCATCTCCCATTTGAACTACTATGTGTGTGTGGGTGAGCGTGCGCGTGCGCACACATGCACACATGCATAAAAACATATCGAGGTCAAAGGACAACTTATGGAAGTTAATTCTCTTTCTACCATGTAGAATCCAGGGATTGAACTCAGGTTGTCAGTCTTGACAGCAAGTCCCCTTCACAGCTGAGCCATCTCACTGGACCCTTTATATTTTTAATATGTTCATAGTAAAATGTTTTCTAGCCAAGACAAGGCTTTCATTGGTTCTTATGCCTTCAGAGGAAAAAAGAGGGGATGCTAAGAAGTAAATGAAACTAAATACTTTGGGGGAAAACACAAGACCTGTGAGACCAAATGTCAGCTCTCCCAGTCACTGGAGTTACAAAGTTCCAGGAAAAGAATGGATACACATGAATACTTCTCATATGTTCAATTTTTATATCTGAGGCTACTTCTTGCCAAGAGGGTCCCTAGCTCACACACAGGTTAGATGATGTCATTCGTGGCTGATTTGATGGGAAGAGCAGGGAACACAAATAACACAAAGACCAGGCCATTATTGTTCAAACAGCAATGTTTAGTTGTACAACACAGAGGCTAGCAACATTTACATGACCAGTCTGAGTGTCTGTTGGCTTGCTTTCAATTGGAAAATTAATCTGGAGTATCACCAAAACATTTGCTGGGACTACTAACATTTTAAAAATGGGTTGTTCTTGCATCCCCTAGGCTTGGGACTCTTGTTCCATCAGGACTTGTAGATGAGTGGCCCACAAGTCACCAGCCTTTGAGCAAGTTGTATCCAGGTGAAGTGGCCAAGGGAGGGTTCTATAAAGACACAGTGTATGGGGCAGTGGCAGCCGACATTCGAAAACATTCATGCATCTGCTGGGGGCTTTGCCCTCCATTGAGTATTTTCCATTAGCCTATAGCAACCATCTGTGGTCAGGATAATTCATTGCTCACATTAACAGGGTGGGGGATGGGAGAAGGAATGGTCAGGGTAGGTGGGAAGAGATCCCTCTTATTGCTAAATGTACAAAAGGGGGCTATTTTTCTTCCTAAAGTGTATAGCTTATGGGTTTTAGGTGATTCTTGTGTGTGTTTAATTCATCTCTTTTTGGGGGACGGGAAAAGGAAATCAAACCCAGCAACCTCTTTTCAGGAAAATCACTTCCCAAACGGCCATATTTTGGAGTAAACAGATTGTTTACACAACATGAGTGATGATTTTTTTCTAAGTGACCCTAGCCCCCTTGCTCCCCAACATCTGTAATGAATCACCCTTATAAATACCTCTAAGCAACGAAGGAGACACCCTTGTCCCACAGGGGGGCTCACACAGCTGACCTCAGTGACTCTGACAAGCAGAAAATTGCTTTCTTGGCCATTTAAGGGAGCCAAGAGAGTACTCATGCAGATGAATAGCTAGAAAGCAATGCTGGTTCCCTTGGAGACGTGACAAGTCGCTGGTATGGGCTTGCAAGGGCTGGAGAAGCTCTCGGTGAGTTCCTTCTCCCTACACATGGGCTGGGGCTGCTGACAGACGATGGAGCAGGGCAATGCTGGCTGGCAGGAACTCCATTCCATTAGGAGAGGAGCAGTTTGGCTAGAGGGAAGAAGCTACTGTCCTAGAGGCAGCTGGCCCCTCTCACCTGCTAAGGAGGGTTGAGAGGGGCTGTGGTGGTAGGCTGGACAAGCATGGCATTAAAAGGGGCTTGGCCCTGCAGCAGTTACAGCTGGGAGGAATGAGGGAGAAGCAGCGCTTGAAATGGACTTCATTCAGCAGTGGGGCAGGGGGTAGCTGGCACAGGCGGAAGGGCAGTGCCCAGGAGGCCTTCTCCCTGCAAGGGGAGTTAAGAGCGGTTGAGGGTGTGGAGACCAGCAGGTCATAGCAGACACATAAGACAGCTTCTCCAGGGAGAGTGAGGCCACGGGGGCTCGGGCACCATTCTCCTGCTTGGCCTAACAATGCCCACCATCCTTATCCCCTGCTGGCCCTGGGTGCCCAGTTCCATGTCACCATATATAACAGCTCCCTGGAGTATTCAGAGAGCTCTATAACACTGCTAACACTCTGGCCTGACAGATGCCTACTCTGGAGTAACTGTGGGAAAATGGAGATGAGGAATGAGGGTTAGATTGGTAGAGCAGTCTTCAGGAAAGACTAAGACCATAGGATTGGGGCCACAAGATCGGATCACTCCCTCCTCTTCCACTCAGTCACTGAATCATGGGTCTTCCCTCTCTTTTGTTTCCCCTAACCCTGAGTGATAAAAGACTGGGATTATAAGTGCTGGCATTCAGTAAGGCTGGACCAGGAGATGGATAGTGGATAAGATCAATTGTAAACAGAATCCCTTGGACTCTTCCCTTTCCCAGTGCTGTTTCCTTAAAGCAGCCTTAGAAACTAAAAGAAGAATAACGTGTGCGTGCAAGGAGCAGTGGACTTATGCATTAATAAAACTGCAGGGCTCCTGATAGGGGAGAGAAGGGTAAATGTATGCTTGTGGGTGTCCCTGGGAACATCTATAGGATCGGAAGGTGGGAGAATTGGGGGAGGGGGGGCGCAGAGAAAGATAGACAAATGAGGACAGAGAAAGGGTGAGTGGGGTGTATATGGGGGAAGCCACAGAAAAGCCAGCCTAACACAGAAAGAAGGCTCTAGAGAAAGGGAAATAAGTCCTAGAATTTGTCTCCAAAGTCCAGCCCCCTAAGAAATCCCATATATTATTGTTTCTGATACTTCAAAATTAGTTCACAAATAGAATGTCCGCCACCAAAAGCTGCCTCACTTGACCAGTATATGTGCTTCCTTGAACAGAGCACTGGGGGGCAGCCCAAGTTACCAACTTCCCCTATTTGCCTATGGGATACTCCCAAATTCAGGGCAAATTTCAGTGCTCAGTTGCAGAAACTGGATTTTCTAGTCTCTGTAGCTCTGATTTCTCTTGCAATCTCAGTGTGTTTTGTCCCATGCTTTGACTTGTGATTTTATTTTTTAATATTTACTTATTTTTATCTTATGCATAGGAGAGCTTGTCTCCGTGTATGTATGTATATACCATGCTCATGGAAGCTAAAAGAGGGTGTCAGATCCTCTGGAACTGGAGTCACAAATAGCCGTAAGCTGCCAAGTAGGTGCTGGGAACCAAACCTGGGTCTTCTGCAACAGTGGAAGTTGCTCTTAAGCACAGAGGCATCTCTTCAGCCCCTAGTTGTAATTTTATTTTAGGACAGCAGAAAGACAATTTAGAAAGTAGGCTTGGCATGATTTCTAAATATAGAAATGAAGCTAACATAGATTACTCTAAAAAGGAAAAGAAAGGTCAGAGACAGGCAGGATGAAGAATGTGTGAATATATAAAGAAAGGAGGCAAAGGAGACTACAGGGAGAGAAATCGGGAAGAGGAGACAACCAACCAGTCTGGAACTATGGGCAGGGCGAGCACAGAAAGCGGTGGTCTGTAGCGGTGATGGCACTATTCAATAATGACCTTGACATGGACCCAAGGGTGGAGCTCCATTTCCAGGCACTAATTCTGCAGGAACCCCCCCAGCATTCTTCTCTGCTTCCCATGACCTTTCTTTGCATTTTTCCAAGAAGTTCTAGCCTTAGTCCAGGCCACCTCAACCTACAGTGAGGGCTGTTCCAAACCCCACACCTCACCGTGGGCTAGCGCAGCCACCTGTCCATGAAGAAGACTTGCAGCCCCAGTTTGTGGGTGGGTCAGAAGTAAGAACAAGTTGCCTGTGGCTCACCTGCTCCCAGCATTTTAAAATAAAACCTTCCCCAGACCTCTTGAGTGAGGCGCACAGCTTTTGGTTCCGGAGCACAAGAAAAAAAAAGAGACAGTATGGATAGTCATGGAGAAAGCAAACTAACAAAGGACTTTCCAGAAAGGGCAATGAAAACACCTCACCACCACCACCACCCGCAGCACCACACATACTCAGGCGCGCATACACACACACACACACACACACACACACACACACACACACACACACACACGACAGAATACTCCACAAACACCAGACAGGTCTGCAGGACAGAGCTGAAAGGAAAGGGTGGCTGGAGGTGGTGCCTGGGATGTGTGTGTGTTTGGAGAAGTAGGATATGTATGACAGATAACACAAAGAAGGGGTCATCATGGATTACTGTCGTGGCTTTCCTCTGTGTCCACGCTCACCGGAGGGAGGCCTCCATTGTCATTGAGCCTCTTGGCCCTGTAAGTCTCATAGTGGATGTTGTGGGTCACTTCTTTGAGGTCCTGGAGGTGAGTCCTGAAGGACACAGTAAAAAAAGAGATAGGGGATACAATTAAGGGTTTTTAGAGGGGGAAGTGATCCACCTCTGAGGCTAACACATCTCTTTAGTAGAGCAGACCCAATGACCGGGACCCACTCCTGAGAGCCAATGACACTTCTTCAACATCCTCCTCCTTTGAGACCTGACCAGAAAGCTCTGACAGAGGGATATGGAAACTCAGGATGTGAATCTGAGCAGATGACCCTCCATCCCAAAACATTAAACCTGCCACCGGGGGAGGGAGAGAACGTCTTACCTGATGACAAAGTCTCGAAGCAGGGCAAACTCACAGTGGTTGAGGTTTTCCACTGCGGACAAAACAGAAGAAAATGGGTGGCTGTTTCACTAGTGTACAGTCCAGAAAGTAGGCAACTTTAAAGAGAGCATGAGATGCCAGGGGTCAATGGCCCATGCCTTTAATCCCAGCACTGAGCAGGCAGAGGCAGTCAGATCTCCATGAGTTTGAGGCCAGCCTGGTCTACAGAGTGAATTCTAGGATAACCAGGGCTACACAGAGAAACCCTGTCTTGAAAAACCAAAGAGGGAGAGAGAGGGAGTGAGAGTGAGCGAGCATGGGGCAGGTTCTTTGTGGCTCTGCCAGAGGTTTGTTCACTAGTGTACTGGTCCCCTTCCTGTCTTTTTTTTTTTTTTAACTGAACAAATCAATCAGATATAATGGGCACAATACTATTCTAGATACTGTAGAATGAATCTCAATATAGACTGGCTTTATTCCACATCTTACAAAAAACTAATGTGGGAGTTTAAGAAATTTTTGAAGGCCTAAGATGATTGAAAGAAAGTAAAACACACAGGACCTCATAACTGAACCAGCTCTCAAAGATCACACTCAACTTTTAAAATCCCAAGGTATTGGGTGTGGTGAGCATGGTGGTCTACCACTGCAAGCCAGCAGAGTAGAAGGATCATGTGTTCAAGCCCAGCCACGGATACACAGTAAAAACCTGCCTCAATAAAAAACACTAGTTAAGGATTAAGCTCAGTGATAGAACATTTACTTGTTTAGCACAGTGAGGCCCGGAGTTCTATTACCAGAACCCCAAAAATTATTAACAATAAACAACTCAAGACAGTGATTTGGGAAAGAAAATATCCAAATTTGAAGTCCAAGTTTCACTAGCATATGAAAAGCTCTGGGCTTAGTCTCCAACACAGCTGCTGGAAGTGGGTGGGAACTGTGTGACCTTTGCAAAGTGAAGCTTTTAACTTGTCCGAGATTAGCATTCTGAAGACAGGAACCAGCTGTGTGCTCCTTACAGGGTTACCATGTTTAAACAAAGGGTTGTTTGTTTTCTTGGTTTGGTTTTGTGTGTGTTGTACAGGGGATTGAACCCAGGGCCTAGCACATGCTAAGCAAGCAGTCTATCACTGAACTACTCTGCAGCCCTGAATGAGACCCTTGAAGTAACTTCTTAAAAACTTTCAGAGTCACCATATCCCACCTAAGGTCACATCTATTCATAATAACTAACACAATATCCCAACCACCCTTTGGCACTTTGCCAGATCACATATGAAAGCCTTTCCTTTTTTTTTTTTCCACCCTCAATAATTTCTCTGGGCTATAAATTCATTTGACAAGCCAAGTCATTGCCACCCGGTCACATATTAAATGGTGTCATTGCTTCCTGCCTGTGACTGGCTTCCTAGACTGTAAGCTCCATATTTTGGCAGCAACAGGCTGGCATCAATATCCCAGAATAGCACTTTGACCCCCTGATGCTTAATAGCTGCTCTCTGGCTAGCCACTTCTTCCAGGAGATGTACTGAATTACCTTCGATGATCCCCCAGGGGGTTTTTCTGCCAAGGACTCTCTTGCCATTCACTTGGTACTCCTTGTCACTCCCCACCACAGCAAAGGGCATGCTCTCCTGCTGGATAGGGGAAAAGCACAAACCGGCATGCATGCTTAGTCCTCTTCTCCAAACTGAATGTCCAAGGGCCGGACAGCCTTTCACAACTAATTTTGTTGCTCATTCAATGATGCTCCTGGGGGTAAGGACAAGACTCTGTCCCCTTGAAAAGGCTGAGCTGGGACCCAAGTCCTGGGCCCAACCCTGGCTACACTGTTGTCTGGTTGGTTAGCCTCACAAAGCCGGCTTCCCTTCAACTAGAGAGCACTTTACAGTTCATTGTGCTTGAGCACATATTTTTGTTTGGTTGGTAACAGCTCTGTGGGCTAGCTAGCACAGACTCTCACAAACGGCACCCCCCCCCAAGGCACCAGCCAGATTCCTAGATGTGTTATGTGGCTCCCATGGAACCTACTGGCAGATGCCCAGCCACTGAACTCTCAGGGCTCTAAGCTGCAACGCTGTATCAGGGCAAGCACTTGAATTTATCTGCCTGTTGTGTCTTTGTCATTGTCATTAGATAAATGAGTCATGTGTTACTTAATGACAGGAGTAAGTTCCGAGAAAAGTTCCTGGGTAATTGTGCCATAGGGTGAACTCACAGCACAGAAGTATGCAAACTAATAAGACAGTTACCATGTCACCAGGTGAGAGTACTGCAGGGAGGCACTGTCTTATGTGACCCTACACTGACCAAAAATCTCTTCATGCAGCACGTGAGTAATGTATGTACACTGAGGACACATATGTGGAGAGCTATTTTCGGAAAATTAAGCCACCTGTGCAGAAAGATGATGAAGGTAAACTGCTTTGGCATTAAGAATGGACTATGGGCTGAGAATGCAGGTCAGTGATAGGGTGCTTGCTTAGAATACCCAAGGTCCTGGGTTTGCTCCTCAGCACTACACAAAGTGTGTGTGTGTGTGTGTGTGTGTGTGTTTTCTCTCAAGTGTGTACAGAGATCAGGGAGCAACTTTTGAGAGTCAGCTCTTTCCTTCTGCCACATGGGTCCTGGGGATCCAACTCATCGGGTCATCACCTTGGCAGCAAGCACCTTTTCGGGCTCAGTGACCTCATTTGTCCTTGGTTGTTTTTATATAGTTCTTCTAGGGAGAGAGAAAGCCTATAAGCCACTCACTTAGTCCGGCCTCTATATTTTAGAGAGGGAGAAATTGAGGGAAACTTTGACTAGACCACAGATTGCCCTGGACACCAACCCAATGTTTTCCCTGCCTGGTGCCCCATCACCTGACACTGGTTTTTCCAGGTCCTGGGAAGGTGATGGAAGGGACTGGGTACAGGAAACCCTGCTGTCCTAGTGAGGGTCACCATATTCCCCACTTCCGGAAGTCTGGGTCAGATGGAGTGGCAAGGGGATGTGTTGAGGAAAAAAGCTGGAGGAAGGGCCTGAAGGCACATCCCAGAGGCACTGAGGACATCTGGGTGATGAAAAGGGCCCCGCACACATACCCTGATTTTGTCATTCTCTGTCTTGTCCTCCAAATCTTCATCGAACTCCTTCTGAGGGTAGAACTCAATGCCATTTACTTCAAGCTCTTTGCGAACCTGGAGGGGCAAAGTAGTACAGTGTTGTGAGCCCCAGGCCCTGGGCAACAGAAAGATCCCAAGAAAAGGCACAGCCCAGCCTGAGAGGAAAGAGGAGTCTGTGAGTACAGGCTCAGACCCCTGGGATTTCAGACAAACAGCACAGCTGAGTCCAGAGCCACAGGCCATGCTCACAACCTTGATCTTCTCTACTCCCCTTTGCAAGGAAGGCTCTGACAGGCAGCCTGGGACTCCATGGAGGTACCTTTGGTCCAGGAACTTCTAGCCCTTGCCTCCTGGATGGTTAAGTGGGAGGGAGTTAGAGTGGGAAACCAGAGTAGAGTGGAAGTGGAGGAAATGGTAGATGGGAGGAAGCACAGACAGGGAAAGACGAGGTGGCTGCTTACCCTCTGCTTGAATTCGGCCTTCTCCTCCAGGGTCATAGTGTCAGCCTTGGCAATGACAGGGATGATGTTCACCACTTTGCTCAGGTGTCTCATGAACTCAAGATCAAGTGGTCGTAAGCTGGGGCCCAGAGAAGGCAGGGATGTCAGAGCCACCAACCCTTCCCAACTCAGCCTCCTTCCTCTCAACACCATCCTTGGGAAAGGACAGGTCTGAAAATCTGATGCCATGCAGCTGTGGCCTCTCCCCTCCCTCATGTGCACCGCTTCAGCACTTACTGTGTGTCCCTTAACCTGTCATAGTCAAGCTCCCCTCTCCTTCCTCAGTTTCCATGTAAAGCATGCCTCTCTTCAACACCCCCGAGTCATTCCATGACACCTTTTCTGACCTGAGAATTTCCTTCTTTGGGGTACACACATGATGGCCATTACCAACTGAACTCTTCTTAATGGCCTCATTTCAGCCCCCACATTCCATCCTGCAGAGCCAGGCTCTCAAACCCTAGTCTGATTCTAAATTGCAGCCTGAGGGACCCATTAAAATCAGGATTGTCTGATACTTTCCACTAACTGTGGACCAAGGTCTAAGAAAAGCTAAAACTATCATTTTAGCTGAGGCAGGAAAAATCTCAAATTCAAGGCCAGATTGAATTACAGAGTAAGTTCAAGGCAGTTTTGGACAACTAAATGAGACTAACCCTGTCTTAAAAAAATAAAAAGTGGGCTTGGGCATGGTGACACATGCCAGCACTCAGGAGGCAGAGGCAGGCAGATCTCTGAGTTTAAGGCCAGCCTGGTCTAAAGTTTCAAGTGAGTTTCAAGACAGCCAGGGTACACTGAGAAACCCTGTCTCAATAATAAGTAAATAAATTTAAAAAAAAAATGTAAAAAGAGGGCTGGAATATAGCTGAATAGTAGAGTGCTTACCTAGCATGTGTGAGGCTCTGGGTTCAATTCCCAGCACTCATTCTAAAAAACAAAACAAAACCAACCAAAAAAACCCCTTGTTTTATTGAGGTCCCAGGTCTGACCCAGGGTTATTAATTTCACAACCTTTATTACTCAACATTGGCTGGGTACCCCGGTTCTTTCAAAATTCAGGGTCTACCTTGATGTGTCATCCTCTCAAAAACTTTAAGTTCTGACCCTGAAGAGGGGCTTAGAGAGACACACTGGCCTGCAGGAAGGGGCTAGAAATACCACCGAGATCCTTAACTTCTGCCTGTTCCCTCATTGCTTATCCTGGGGCCCATCCGCGACTTACAAATAGTTCCCAGCACAGCCTTCATCTCTGGATGTCTGGCCCTCCTGCTGGAATGGCCGCTATCTAGATACCTACAGCTAAATTCCTCAGCTTGCTTCCCTACCAGCCCCAGTCCAGTAGTCCTGGCTCTCCCTACTTTACTTTCTCGCCACCCCCAAACCCCAAGCCTTGTCCAAAGCAAGTATCTGTTGAACAAAAGGGTACCCTCTGTTCAAGTTCTCTCTGCTGCTACAGTTGGGCTGTAACATCAGTAAACAGTATGGAGGGTGGTCAGTGATGGTCAGCTTTACTTTCTTACAGAAAATCTAGAGAACCCAAGGTTACAGGGCCAACCTTCCAGCCATCTGGCCCTCCCCAGCTAAGTCCAAGTATGGATTCTCCAATCCTGGGCACAAATGACACATATTGGACCAAAGCCCAGTAGTGGGAGTGGGTCTGGTACATACGAGTGTCCTGTGGGGGAGATGAAGTAGAGGCAGCAGTGGACACGAGTGTCTGGGATGCGCTTCTTCCTGGAGATGTTCACCTCTTCCTTCAGGAACTTCTCATACTGCTCATTGATGTATTTCTCAATGGGCTCCCAGCTGAGGGGTGGGAGAATACATCAAAAGTAAAAGGCTCAGGAGTGCCTCTTAGGCTCAGTCAGGTCCCAATCGCCTCACATCCACCTTATATCCTACCCTCCCTTCTCTACCTGATGACCAGTTCTCCCTCAACCTCCCCAGGGATGGCTTTCCCATGGATGGGTAGCATGGGTAGAATTCTCCCAGGGGACCCAGCATCTTTCTCAGGAGGATGCAGATAGTTCTCAATGGAAATGAATCTGTGTTATGCTTTCCTAGTAGAGTATTTAGAGACAAAATCTCTGAAGTGGACACATACCAGTTTTCATTGTTGATCTGGTCCCCGAAGCCTGGCGTGTCGATGACTGTCAGCTTCATTTTGACACCACCTTCCTCTATCACTGGAGAGAATAGAAAGAGCATCAAATAAATCAGTCCTATAGTTGACCCCAGAAGCCCTGCAGCCTGCTGGCCAGGATCACCCACACTTCTTAGAAGAAGCTAATATATTAGTCAAGTCAAGGTTACATACTTCTCCCACTCATGCTTCTCCCTTCCCCTACTTCTTCCTGTGTCTACTTTTGTCTAAATCCTCCCTGGGCTTTATCACCTAGTTCAAGACCCACCTCTTCCGGTTCTACATGTACATGCTCTCCCCACTCGCACCTCAATATCTAGGCCTAGCAGCCTACAGAGTTTGTACCAACAAGCTCGGGCTTAATTACCTTTTACATCTTATTCCCCAGTAAGCCCCTTTCTCTTACTTGGCATCAACCCCTCAGAAAGATGCCCATAGAGGGTTGTAGCCTAGTCCTCACCATGCCCAATCGCTTTGATCTCTACTGTCTTAGGGATCTTCTCCTCCCGGCTCCAGCTGGAGGCCTTTCGGCTCACTTGGGACTTGAAGAGTGTGTTGACCAGCGTCGACTTGCCCAGTCCACTCTGACCTGTAGCAAGGGAGGAGACAGAGAAAGGGAGACAGGCCACACATCTACCTCTTAAGCCGCACAGCCCTCCAGTGAACTTACAGGGCTCCTGAGTTGTGATCCAAGCCAAGCCCTATTTAAACACCCCTTGGGGATGAGCAATTGGTAGGAATGGATTCCATGTTTCTTCATGGGCCCCAGGACCACTGGGAGAAGGCACAACCTGTGCATTTGTGAGGTGTATGTGTAAGATGTAGTTTTCAATTTGGTTTGGCTTGTGTTTTCCATCCTTAATAACACTGGAGTGAGAACAATATTCCTTCTGCATTCAGATCCTGCCTTACAGTGCCTGAGCTCTTCCACATCTGTTTGGAAAATTGCTCTTTTTAACCCCTGGTATGGGGACTGGAAACCAGGACATTGTGCTTAATAGGATCTTTAACACAGAATTAAATCCCCACCCCCTAAATCACTCTTCATATCAGTCCTGTGCATCTCACAGCAGAGCTGACTTCCTCCCCAGTTGAGATTTTGTTTTTTCTTTTATTTTGGGGGGCAGAGGAGGTCTTGAGGGGCTTTGTTTTGTTTTTTGGTTGGTTATCTGTTTTTGAGACAGGGTTTCTCTGTAGCTTGGGATCCAGTCCTGGAACTTGCTCTGTAGACTGGGCTGGCTGCAAACTCAGAGATCCACCTGCCTCTGCCTCCCAAGTGCTGGGATTAAAGGTGTGTGCCACCACTGCCCAGCTGGACTATATCTGATTCTTAAGCTAAGACTTTGGTACCAGATAATCCATGTCACAGAGCACACTGTCAGCTCAGTTCATGTATTTGTAGCAAAATATCTGGATGATTTCTACCCTGGCCAAGGTTCTTACTCTGCCACAGATCAGCTCTGAGTCTAGTAGCTGCAGCTACCCAGGTGAGCTGGCCTAGGGTAGCAGTTAGGAATGGGCAGAAGCTGACAGGCCTAGGAGATCTTTACAAGATTAAAGGGACAGGGCTTGTTGATTAGATGGGAGAACAGAAAGGGAGGAGGATGCTTCACTCCATTTCCATACCTAGTAAACAGCTCAGATTAGGCAAATGTCCCTCCCTGCTATATACTGTTACTCACTAATGTTACTCATTGACCAAGACCCTGGAAAATTTTGAAGCTTTAAGGTGTGAACAACAAGATTATCTTTTACCCAATCCTCTCACAGCTCTTAGAGATGGGAAAGGGTTGACAATACCCATTCCACAGACTTAAAGCTGGCTCAGAGTGATGAAGAGGCAGTCAATGTTCATCTAGCAGTGAAACCAGGATGGGCATCCACCCAAATCTCCCAACCTTGAAACAGCCAGTTAGGAGGAAAGGACCAGACTTTGTGATCAGCATGATGAAATCCTCCCTCCTAGAAAGAGCTCACCCTAGAGAAGCCAGGCCATTCTGGGTAAAGAAATGGGATCCTTGGCGCTGCCCACCACTAGGCCTTCATTGACCCCATGGCTTTCCATACCAACGACCATGATGTTGAAGTCAAAACCAGTCTTCATGGTTTTCTTGCGCATCTGTTCAATGATGGTGTCAATGCCAATGTAGCCTAGCAGACTGGAGTTGATGCTGACCGGTTTCATGGGCACCACCGGCTTAGGCCTGGGCTCAGGTACCAGCTCTGACATAGCTGCGTCCGTCCTGGCCTCTGGGAGCCCTGAAAAGCCAAGGTGGGAGGAATAGGCAAGGTGAGCAGCAGGAGAACAAGGGTTTCATAAAAGGCACAATAGTATCTCGATATGGAGTCACAGAGTTGGGACCTGAAGAGACCATGATATCATCCAGTCTGGGTCCCATACTGTGTAGATGAAGAAAACACTGATGCCGGGGGCGGGGGGGGGGGGGAAGGGGTTGCCCAAGAATATTATTTAGGTCAGTTGCAAAATCTATACCAGTACCAGGTTCTTCAGTTTGTTTTTTATGTAAAGATTTATTTATTTTCATCTCATGTATATAATAAGTGTTTTCCTGAACATATGAATGTGCACCATGTGTATTCAGTGCCCAAGTGACCAAAAAAGGACACTGGACCATCCTGGAATTGGATTTACATGAAGGTTTTGGGAATCAAACCCAGGTCCACTACAAGAGCAATAAGTGTTCTTAACCACTGAACCATCTCTCTAGCCCCAAACAGTTTCTCCAGTTGCTGGACATGTTCAAGCACATCACTGCTCCAAAGTACTGCATCTGTGTGTGCCAAAGGCTCCTTCACCTTAGTTCTACTGATACCTGGATAGTTATTGTAGCAGGCTGTCCTGTGTCCTGTGACCACCAAAAGTATCTCTACAGAGTAACAAATGTTTCTTGGGGACAACTCCATCCCAAAAGAGTGCTGATCTAGGAAATGTCTGAGTTACCTTTCCTGCATCTTGCCAAGTAAGGAACAAAGAACCTTTAGGGTCCAGGTCTACTATCTATTAACTGTCAATGACCTCAGTTACTTGGTCTTTTAGAAGCAATCAGAGCTACTTTTCTTTGTAGAGTAAGCTCTGCCTTCAGCCCCAGTCTCCCCTCTGTGCCATGAGTCTCAAAACTAGTGGGCAGAACCAGATGGTGGTACTGCACACTTTTAGTCCCAGCCCTTGGGAGGCAGAGGCAGGCTAATCTCTATGAGTTCGAGACCAGCCTGGTCTACAAGAGCTAGTTCCAGGACAGGCTCCAAAGCTACAAAGGGAAACCCTGTCTCAAAAATAAAGTAAAAGTAGTTCACAGCAGAGGGTTTTCCAACACCTCTCATGCAAAGCTTTGAACCTGGAGAGCCAGCAAGGAAAGGATGAGACTCAAACAAGGACTGCTCCTTGCCTAAGATAACACTCTCATACTAGTAAGTAGAGGGTGGGGAGGCTGAGGAAATAGCCCTCCCTAAAGAAAGTCAAAAGTCTCCAATGGCAGACCATGGCCATGCTCACACACGGCAGGTCACTGTCCAGCAGGGTAAGTTCTAGAAGAGATCAACTCCATTTCCCTCTCTGGAAAACAGGTGTGGGAATGAAGTAAAGAAGATCTTGGCTCTGCTATTTGTCAGGTTGTAGACTTGTGCAAGCCACTTCCCTTCTACCAGCCTGCTTCTTCCTCCATAGAATAGTTGGGTCATGACTAAGGCTGTGGTGAGCACACATGAGATACGATTCTTATAAGCCCAGAGTCCAGCTTCAGCTTCACAGACCCATCATGCCCTCTTGCCTTTTTTTTTTTTTTTTTTTTTAAGATGGGTTTCACTATGTAGCCCCTGGCTGTCCTGGAACTCAGTAGACCAGACTGGCCTCAAATTCACAGAGATCAGCCTGCCTCTGCCTCTTGAGTGCTGGGATTAAAGACATGTGCCACCACTGCCTGGCTACCCTTGCCCTTTTCAAGTTCAGCTTTCTATAAGGGGGTTGAAAGTGTGCACATGAAAGTATTTATGAAGTGGAGGTTCCCAGGTTGCTAATTTCACAAGCATATTCTTTGCTGCCATGCTCTCAAGAAGCTGTGCCGTTTTAAAGCCTTACAGTTCATGATTACCATCCTGCATCTCAGCCTTTGAGGAGGGCTGAAGGAGCAGCAGATGGGCAGGAGGAAGTGAAAACATGTCTCCCTCCCCATTCCCAAGCCCAGCCAGGAATCTGCTCTTGTACCCCACCACCTGGTCCTTCCCCTGATCCTGGCACGATGTTCTTCCCTGATGGGAAACTTCCTTCCCATGTCCCTCTCAGCACAGCTAACCCTCTCAAAGCCTCAACACCTCCCCAGAGCCTGGCTCTGCTCCCTCTTGCTTCCCAGGAAGCTGTTGCCACCAGGTGGTTCCAGAAGGTAGCAGGATTGGTTCAGCCCTGTGACAGCTGACTCTGAACAGCCTGGGCCAGCTCTTCCACTCGACATACAGCTCATGTCCCCCTTTAGCACATCTGCCCTGGGAGCCAGTGCCCCGTTTCTCCATCCTGCTGTTCTTATAGCCTGGCCCTTTTGGTTTCCTCTGTGCCTGCTAGGCACATTTGGTACCCACAGCCTGTGTTGTGACATAAGCCACCTGGGAGGCAGGTAATAGTACTTGTATATTCGAGGGTTATAAATGTTTCTAAAGCATGTGTCCTTACCATGGCCTACTCAGCTCTGTCTGTCAGACCCTGACTGAAAGAGGGAGCTGACCAGAAGCTCAAACAACCCCTAGATGCTATGGCAAGCCCGATGTAAGTGGGAGGGAGGGGATAAGTGGCTCTCACTTTCATTCTTCCAAGGAGCAGTGTTAGCATCCATGATGAGCAACATAAGGAGCACCTACTATCAAGTCAGCCTCCTCCCAACCACATGCCAATTACATGTCAGTCACAGGCTAACAGCTGCCACTGATCAAATGCCACAAGTACCATAGATGTGATATTGGTACCCCCTTAAAACTCCCAGCCTAGTAACTCCCCTTACTGGAAGCCTTCCCATCCAATATGGCTGCCCCTCTTGGTGTGCTGCCTCAGTCCCCTGTAGCTGCTAGATACTTAGCATATGCATTCATTCCAGGTCATCCTAAATACTGTCAAATGAAAGCCTAACTAAACCAAGTGCTGCGTTAAATGCCAAGGATATATTTGTATCCAAGACAAGATCATCGACTGCCCCCTCCCCCGAGGATCCACTGTTTTTTTTGGGGGGGTACCTAACAAGTAAACCAGGACCTCCAGGGTACAGAGCAAATGCTATCCTAGAGCTGGCCTCTGTGGCTTCCATCCCCTGCTCCCCTGTTCCCCAGGTCCCACCAGGTCATCCTTGAATGGGCATGAATCCCAGCTAGATGATTGCTATAAGTCTAGGTTTTCTTCTCAAAGGTTACTGTGAAAGTCATACAAAATCATGAATGTAAATGACCTATCACTGAATATGTGCTGGTTTCCAGCCCTCTTTGAGGAGCCATGCCTTATTGTTCTGTGTGCCCAGTGCACCCTAGCATATCGTAGACATTCAACAATGAATGAATGAATGGCGGATGAATGAAAGCCCCACAAGGCAGGAGTCTCTGAAGATATCTTTCTCCTTCCTCAGAAGCTGCTTCCTGCCCATGCCCCCTGCACCCCATGCCCTACCAACAAACAGCTGTTGTGTGAGCCATGATTATATTAGGTACACCTATTGAGACCTCCTCCATCCCCTGTATCTGAGGTTGGTGGAGAGGGCTTCCCAAGAGTAGGGAAGAGTTCACCCAGGGCTCATAGCAGAATGCAGCTAGATGGCTCTTGGGGGTCCCTCCTAAGCTCGCAGCCCTCCCAGAGAGGGGTATATCTGTCTGCGGCACCCTGCTAGGTACCACCTGCCCCATTAGTGCTCCAAGAAGACAGACAGTCCACCTGACTCAGCTCTGACCCCACAGGACAACACACTCCATCCCTAAAGCAAGGATATAATGCTTTCTCCTACAGGAAAATGAATGGCTTTGTCTTTGTCTGGTCCACAGACCCCACCCCTCTGTCGGAAAGGTGTTGATGGGAAAAGGGGCCTTTCTAAAATAATACCTGCCTCCTTAGCTTAATGCTAGGTTATCTCTTCCCTCCCAAGCTGAGGGGGTCTTCTCCAGCCCCTTGATAACCACCAGCCTTTTAAAAAACCACCCCCCACTGCAAAGTCAATTCCAGTCCATCCCAGCTCCAGCCCTGGACAGCTAAAAAAAAAAAAAAAACCCTTCCTTCACCATTAAAAGAAGCAAAGGGTCCAGGGACACCCTCCCTTCCCCCATTCTAGTCAGGAAGCCAATGAGTTCCCTTGGAGACCACCAGCTGGTGCCTGTCTCTGCGCTTGGTCTCTATGTGGGGGAAGGGGACTGACTGATGTGTCAGCGCACAGGTCTCTTAACTGGTTGTAGATGGTCTGGTACCCATGTTTGGAGTACATGCTGTGCGTGTCCTGGTGTGTTCCAGCGGGGGCTTTCCCTAAGCATTGGATCTCCATACCTCCCCAAGCTCCAGTGTGTGCCTTTTCCCGAGACTGTGCTTCCAAGTGTGCCACCTGGTGTGCGTGTGTCCGTGCGTATGTCACTGCACGTGGGGTCCTCAGCACAGCAAACCCTCCCTTTCGTAGCGCTTTGGGCCTTAGCTTCCTCCCGGCCGGTGCCAGGCGCCCAAGCGACAGCCCTACCTTTGGACATGAATCCTCCTTTGTCTCGAGTCCTCCGGGAGATGCTCAGGGCGCGGGGCTGGCTGCAAGGCTGAGCCGGGCGCGGGCTCCCTCTGGACCAAGCGGCCCCTGCAGCCAGGCCTCGCCCCTCGGCGCCGTCCACCTACCCGCCCGACCCACCACCCGGCCGCGCCGCCCCTGCGCCCCGCGCCCACCCGGGACCTCGCCTCCACTCGTTCGTCGCCGAGCCGCTCCTGCCCGCGCGCACCGATGCTGCCGCTGCCACCGGCACCACGTGACTCGAGCGCTTGTACGCCCCGCCGAGGGCCCCTCCCCTTCCCGCGGCTCCCGCGCCAGCACGCAGGACCAAGTACCGGAGCTTGGGTTGCTCGGCCAGGGAAGGTGCCTGCGTCGCAATCCCTGTCTCCCTCCCTAGAAACTGTCCCCAACCCCTTACCGGGTCCAGGGCGTAGGAGATCAGTGGCAGCTGCCGGTGACCGTGCGCGTGCGTGAGTCACGCGGTGATTGGGATTTTGCGCTGCCTCACCGCGGTTCTGCCCAGGCGCGGTTGCTGACAGAGCTCCGAATCAGAGAACTGGGTTCCAGGCCCAGCTCCCAGCCTGGATGCTAAGCCCTATAACCTTGAACTAATCAGGAACTTCCCTGAGCCTCCTTTACCCACCTTTTGGTCTTTGATACGTTGAAGATGGCTTGTTGGTCGACCCTGGCAGCACAGAGCTGAGGATGACCAAAACTTCTTGACCTTAAAGGTTTGGGGTCTAACAGAAATCAGAAAGCTAGTTCACACAGGTGCTGTGGGGTGCAAGCAAACAAGCACCATGGAGCTTTGGAGCAGGTGAGGGCCAACGTGAATAGGTAAATGGCAATGAGAAAAAAGAATAAAAGGACCTTCTCCAGAGAAGGGTAACGGGGCCAGCGAAGCCCAGAGGCTGCAGAGAGGTGGGCTGGTGATAACTCAGAACGCTGGACTGAGGCAGGAAAGATAACAGACAAGAGGTACCTCAGCTAAGAGTATGGAGAGGTAGGCTGAGCAGTGGTCTTTAGGGGTGGTAATAGTGAGACTTTAAAATTCAGCCACCAAATAGCTAAGTCCCTGTAGCAGCTTATGGAGGACAGAAGAAGCAGAAGGATACAAAGTGGTAACAGCTGCGGGGTGTGGTGGCCCGTGTCTTTAATCCCAGCACTCCGGAGGCAGAGGCAGGTGATCTCTGTACATTGGGGTCAGCCTGATTTACAGAGTTAGTTCCAGGATAGCCAGAGCCACATGGATACATTGTCTCAAAAAAAAAAAAAAAAAAAGTGACAACCACATGGTCAAGTACAGAGGAGGTACATAAATCGGACTGAGAATGGACAGAGTGGAATGAAAAAGAAAGAAAACAGGGGATCCAATCACTGGATCAAAGGTGAGTGGTGCCTGCAGCTGAGAGAGGGAGATGGGGGAGGGCAGCCACTGTTTCTAGCTCAGTGGTCCTCAACTTTCCTAATGCTGCGACCCTTTAATACCGTTCCTCATGACATGATGACCCTCAACCATAAAATTATTTCATTGCTACTTCATAACTGTAATTTCACTACTGTTATGAATTATAAGGTAAAAATCTGATATGTGACCCCTGTGGGAGTTAAGAACCACTGTTCTAGAAAAAAGGAGGGCTCCCTGCATCTAGACATGTCCTGGAGACATCCAGGTGGAGGAGAGTTCAGCAGATGTAGCTGTCTGTATTTCAGAAGAGAGCTGAGCTAAAGATGGAGAGAGAGCTGGGGCCACATAGCAAAGTGAGGACTAGGTTGTTTGCCAAGTGGGATTAGAAAGGCTTTGACAGCCCAGGACCCAGTTCAAGCTCTGGACTGGGCAATTTCCAAGCCTTCCTCCTGACCCAGAACCTGAGCTTTGGAAATGTGAATGAGATTGCTCAAAGTTGGCCAGGTCTGTTTTCCAATCGATGTACTGCCACCACTTAACTCTGGTTTGACTTCTAGCATGCCACAAACCTCCACAGGATTCCTAGCCCTTGTGCTGACCTGTTTATAGATCTGTGTTGGATTTGCACACACACATACACACACACACCTCTTCAGCTTTAAAGAACTGCAGCCAATGGACTGGAGAGATGGCTCAAAGGTTAAGAGCACTGACTGCTCTTCCAAAGGACCTGAGTTCAATTCCCAGCACCCATATGGCTGCTCACAACTGTCTGAACTCCAGCTCCAGGGGATCCAGCACCCTCATACAGACACATATACAGGCAAAACACCAATGCACATAAAAATAAATAAAAAGTTAAAAAAAAAAAAAAGAACTGCAGCCAAGAAAGACTTCCAGGTAAGTCTGACCTTGAACTTCTCATCCTTCTGCCTGTACCTCCCAAACACTGGCAAACGTTTGAAATACCAGATCTCCTACAAATCTGTTTGTGATTTGATTTAGGTCTCCCTAAGATCATTATATCCCACCCACAGAAGCACTGGGATATCAGACTACTAGTAGATTAAGACACAGCTGACTGAAGAGCTTGTCTGTGTTTTTGTGCAGTAAACTTTAGTTTGCTTGGTTTTGCTTTGACTTTTCTGTGTAGCCATGGCTATCCTGGAACTCAGGAACTCATCCTATAGACCAGGCTGGCCTCCAACTCAGACTTTCCTTAAAGCTGGACTCACCTAATTGTCCTGACTTTTCAGACAGCTAAGAAGCAAGCCAAGATCATGGTCAAGAGAGGACTCAGCCTAACTGCTTCTCCACAACTTAACCTGTAAACCTTCCTCCTGGTGGCTTCCCTCAGCCAGACTTCTAGTAGCATGGCTCAGTGGCCATACTCCTCCTCTTCAGCCCCTCAACCCTTGTCCCCTTTTCTGCCACCCACTTGATTCTGACCCTAGAGTCCCCATTCTCCTTCCCAACCTATTGAGACTATTTCACCCTGATCCCCAGCAACAGTACCTCCCCAACCAAGTTCTTGCACTTACCTTTGGGTTCTCTGGCCAGGTCAAGTGAGGAAGGTTCTGTGGCACTCTCTGTGGCAGCATCTTCAGTGGTATGGTCCTGGCCAGTGTCTGTGCTTCTGCTTGGCATCACAGAATAGGTTGCAGCATCTTCAATGGTCAGGTGATTGACAATGTCTAGCTCAGTCTCATCAGTTGCTGGATCTGGGCAAACTAGCACAACTGGGTCCACGGCTGTACCCAGTCTGCTTGTGTCCAACACAGAAGAATCTGTAATTGTGTCCAGCTTGGCAATATTAGCTCTAGCCAGAGCTGTGGCTGTGTCCAACCTGGTTATGCTCAGATCTACCTGATCTGTTATTTCCAAAGCCATGGCTGAGCAATCTCTGTTCATAACCATGACATTTTCCAGCTTGTCTGAGTCTGCAGTTACCAAATTCAGAACCTGGTCTGGCTTGTGTGTCCCTGCTCTAGCTAAATTCATGCCTATGCATAGTTTGGGTGGGCCTGCTATCACTGAATCTGTGGCTTTTCCTGCCTTGGATGCTATCGGTAAGTCAATGGCCATGCCCATCTTGGCACCTAGAATAGGAAGCTCAGTGCCTCTGACCATTCTGGATGGGTTTGGTGTGGGCATATTGATAGCCAGATCAGGTCTATTGATGGCCATTGTGCCTAAATTTCTGGCTATATCTAGTTTTGTGCCCACAGCAGACAAATTTGTGGGAGTGGTAACCCTTTGGAGGTATGCTCGGGACCTGGGAATACCCCTGGGCTTGGACTTGCCTCTTCCTGGAGAGGTTCTAGTTTGAACTTGACCCACAGAGCCTGAACTCTGAGTGAACTGAGATTGGAAAGGTAAAGACAGATATGAAGACATCAGGGGCTTATCCCCTGAGGGTGTCCTATTGGATTTGTTAAGATCTGGGTTCCTATGGCCATCAGAGGAGGTCCTGACCTCTGGCACTTGGGCCATGGGTGGTGATCTTGATGTGGACAGCCTCCCTTCTCCATGGGTCATAGCCTCCCTGCCCAAATTGGGCAACTCTTCCCAACGAGAAAGTGAGGCATCTAGGGGCCGTGCTTGGACATTCTGGTGAATCGTGAAGGAAATAGAGCTAAGTTTCCTGGGCATAAAGCTATTGGGGGGCATGGAGCTCAGGGACCCTAGAGTGCCCTGTTGGGACATACTCCAGGCCCTGGATCTAAGGCTTGGTTGGCTGGAAGTCTGTAGGACATTGCTTTGGGGAAAGGCATCCAAATGGACAGTCTTCTTGATGACAGGGATGAGGGGGGACACATCTCCAGGGAGCTTTTGGTGGGTATGGCGTCCCAGCAAGTGGCTGCGAGAGAAAGAAGTTCTGGGGCCTGGAGCCCTGTGTGGCTGCATCTCTGGAGGAGGAGGAGGAGGTGCAAAGTTGTGGTCCATGAAGGCTGTTCGGCTTTCCCTGAGGCAATCACTAGAGAGGAGGGTAGATAAGGATGAGGTCTCAACTCTCCTCCTCCTAACCAGCAGATGGCACTGCCAGCCTGAAGGAGTCTTAGTTGGGGCTTGTTGAGTCCTTAGTAGAGTGTATCCTTACAGCCCAACAGTGTCCACCTGCTACAGATTAACACACACCTGCCCATTCAGCGGACTGACAATGAGCAATTTGCCCTGGACTTGAAAGAACCCAGGATGGGGTTTAGCTCTCCCTTTCTCCCTGGACAGCCATATAGAGGTCACATACATCCCTGGACAGCAGTATGGAAGGCACATACATATGCAGGAGCCCTGGAGGAGGACAGTCTGCCTCTTGAATTAAGGAATTCTGTACCAAACCAGGAAAGAAGCCCTGAGCTGGACTAGTAGCAGGGAGAGACATTTAGGGGAAGCCTTGAGTCAGTTTGGGTGTCAGCTGTGTTTGGCATTGGGCAGCTCCTAAGGATAGTCCAAAAGTGAGAAAATGAAGCCTCCTTCTGAAAATCCAGCATGGGGCTCCCAAGCTGTGCCTGCCAGATTGTAGATAAGGCTGAAGGTAAACAGGGGCCAGGCCAGGCTGCAAAATTGTTTGGGTCCTGCAAGTTAACTTGCTCCCATCTGCTGTTAGGAACAACCTTTCAAAGGCAGGTTGAAAGGGAGATGGTTGGAGATGAGATTGAGAGTAGGCAGTCTGCAGGGCATGACTAAGGGGCTCTGTGGGCTGTGAAGGGGGCCAGGGATGAAGTTGGAGAAGGTTTCCTTCAGGAAGGGAGTTGAGAGAGAAGAGGGTATCCAGGTTGATGCTCAATACTGCCAGGTAGTCTGGGTAGATGACCCATACTCCCTGAAGTGGTCTCCAAGTTCCCCCAGGTGGCTGGCTGGTGGCCTCTCAGAGCTGCATATAACTCAGCCTCTGGGACAAAGTTACTTCCATTACTTTCAACACCACAGGCTAGACATGTTGCTTGGGGAACCAGGCCAATGCTGGTGGGCAGAATTATCTGAGTATAAGGGGCTGGCAGAGGAAAGTGATGTCATAACCATCTCTTTGAAGTTTGGAACAGGAAACAGAAAAGCAGAAAGTCTGGGTACCCTCATTGTACCTTAAATGACATCCGAAGCCCTCGCCTCTAGCCTTGCATTTGTACCCTGCTGTCCAGCCTTTGCCCTTTCTCCATTTGGCACAATCCTGCAGCTCTGACCTCTTTCCCACTGTCCACATCACATGCACCCGGGCACACCATGTTCACACTGCACTTAGCCACAAGCCCAAGAGCAGGGACTTCTGAGATCACTTTGTTCCTGTGTCACCAGATCCCTACCTCCTCACTGAGCCCCATGTGCCATGAACACCTTGGTCCTGTCCTTCCCAGTACTCAGGTGCACACATGTCCTCTCTCTCTCTCTCTCTCTCTCTCTCTCTCTCTCTCTCTCTCTCACACACACACACACACACACACACACACACACACACACCTACCTTGATCAGAAGACAGAAAAGGGGCAGGTAATTTTCAGTCAGGGAGCTGGACCAATTGCAGACTCTGCCCCTTCCTCTGTACCCAGAGGCCAGCCATGTGGCCTGGCTCAGAGACCTCTTTTCTCTAGGTCCTCTCTCTCAGCCTCCCAGCTCTCTCCTGACTTCTCTCTCTAGCTACATCCCCAGCAGCTGGGCTGGGCTCTGGGCAGGGAAAGTCTGACTGGAGAGTGGGTGGCAATGAATGGCTGCTCTGAGTCTCTGGAATCCTACAGAGCTATGGGAGTCAGCCAGTTGAGCTGCCCTGAACACAGGGCCACCTAGGGAGGGGATGCCCTGGTGTCCCACCTACCCATGTGTTCTTGTCTCCAAGACTGGTCCCTTGAGCGGTATCACCAGTAAGAGAGAAGAGCATTACTCCAACAGTGATGACACTGTTTGCCCCATGCTAACTTCCCTCCTATCTTCCCTCTGCAACCACCTATGAGTTTGGTGAAGTTGGGGCCATCTGTGGCCATTTCTCCTGAGATCTTGCCTCAGGTTGGAAATTTTGAGTTTTCATCTATACCTTTCAAAACAATCCTCTGAGATCCAGTTTGCTTCAGACAGATCCTAAGCTAAGACTCAGAGTATGAAAATAGCTGGCCCCAGGCCTGACCTCAAAGAAAGCCACAAATCCGCCCAAGCTGGCTCTGGTGAGGCAGGTTCTCAGCAGCCCCTGGCCACTGAACTGGGATAGGTACCCAGCACTGAACTGCCTCTGCCACACAATGGTATAAAAAGGAGAGGTGGTGGAAAGAGCCACCATTGACTGGGTACTTACTATGTGCCAGGCACTGAGCCAGGCTTGGGGAGCTCTGAGTCTGTTCAGGAAGAGATGTGTAAGCAGATCCTCACAGCATCAGCCACAGAGCACATGACATGGACATCGCCCAGACACCCACTCTGAATTAGGAGCTAAGCTAAACATCCTCCTGGCATGTCCTGTAATTATCACCTTGCCACTTGCTTTTTGCCAATGAGGGACAATGGTGCTCTACCCCACAACACTGTGAGGTCTGGCCTACTTTCCTATGTGTTGCTCTCCTTGGTGAGTGAGCTTCTGGCCTGGCCAATAGAACTTTCTGTGATAATGGAAATGTTCTATATCTCCACTGTCCAATAAAATAGCCACTAGCCTCAGGTGGCTCCTGAGCACTCACCATTATTCTATAGAGACCAAGGACCTGAATATTTTATTTGATTTCATTTGAATGTGGGTCTACTGTATTGGACATCACAGTTCTGAAAGGCCTGGCTCTTACTCTTCCCTGGGCCCACGGATCACTCAGTTATGTCTCTGTTCAGCGTCTACATGGTGACTATGTGGGCCTGGGATCCTCCCCTCTTATCCATTCTCTTCCCTTCAAGCTTTAGGTTTCCAAAGCTGGCTATACTCTGGTTACCAGGACAACCTGTAAGAAACCACAGTGGGGGGGAGGGGCACTGTCTGAGTTCTCTCCCCCTCCCCACATGTTTTGAGAGCCTGGGGAAAGGAGGAAGTGTCTGGAGGAGGACACAAAATCTGCCTGGGCAGCCTGGGGAGCAAGCTCTGTAGGGCTCACTCCTGCTCCATTACATTACCCCCTGGTGATCAAAGAAAGTCAGGGGTCCTAGGTTCTACTCGCCTGACTCTCACTATAAGACTCCTGTCTGATAGACTGGGCAGTGGTGGCACACACCTTTAATTCCAGCACTTGGGAGGCAGAGGCAGGCAGATCTCTGAGTCTGAGGCCAGCCTGGTCTATAGCGTGAGTTCCAGGACAGCCAGGGATACATAGAGGAATCCTGTCTCAATAAAGAGAGAAGAAGAAGAGAAGGGAGGGGAGGGGAGGGGAGGGGAGAAGAGGGGATGTAAAGCACCTTGTGTTTTTTAGAATTGATGGCTATTTTTGTTTTGTTTTGTTTCAAGACAGGATTTCTCCATGTAGACCAAGCTGTCCTGGAACTCACAGAGATCTGCCTGCCTCTGCCTCCTGAGTGCTGGGACTAAAGGAGTGCATCCACACCAAGAGGAAGGACTGTGTCACACACCAAGAGGAGATCTTGATTTTATAATTGACAATACTGAGAATGCCACTTTGCATAAATCAAAATAATGGCAGGAATGTGTTCAGGAACTGCTAGAAATTTTTCCCTACGCCCAAGTCAAATTTCCCTTAATGACTTACAAAACTCTAGACAGCAGCAGAAACAGCAGAGTTTTTGTTTTAGACAGGGTCTCACATATACCAAGTTGGCCTTAAACTTCCAAGAATGACATTGAACTTCTCCACTGATTGAGGATGAGATTGTGGATGAGCAGTCCCATACCTGGTTTATGTACCACTATGGACTGAACTAATGTTCAAACAAAAGATGACAGTAGGAAAATACTGACTTTTCTTTCCACCATTAAGCCATTATGTTTCTCTGTGAGGTTTTAGGCAGCATTCATTGGTGGTATATGGAGTTCTGGCATGTGGGGGTCAAAGTGTGCACATTGAATGTTCAATACCAAGGAGACAGTGAGAGTGCCCCAGCCAACACGGGAGTTGATAGGAACACCACAGATTCATTTCAAGTTTGAGTTTTGTATTAATTTTTGGTTGTTGTGCATTCAGAAACCTTTTACTGTTGCCCAATTTTCACCACCCCCGCATTCAGTTACTGGTGACCACCCACAGTTTTTAGAATCTGGGACTTAGAGTTTACTGCCTGTCCAACAAACTTGGGTCTAGCTGCCCTCTAGCGGTCAAAAGTAACAATGTCCTCCTTTACATTGGCACTTTCCCCTCAAGGCTGAGACACTGACATGTCCTCCAAGGACAGAGAGAGACCTCCACTCCAGTCATTATAGTTGGCCTCCATGACAAGAGGCACATGCTGTGAAATCTCTCAAACATGTGATTCTGCAGCCATGTTATTTTGAAATTTGTCTCTCTAAGCTCCATTTTGTTTTGTAATATGGGCTGAATTATGGTAGACAGTGTGGGTAACAAACCATTTCCAAATCCCCAGGGCTTCTAACATGTCATCTTCACTCTAGGACCTGATAGTCTCTTCTAGAACATTGCCAGTGATTGTGACAAACTGAGAACTAGTGAACCCCTTGCCAGCTTTGACCTAATTCTAGCTCATTGGTTAGAACTAGCTGAATGACCGACCCACCCATTAGACCAAGGTAATAAAGTAAAATCCTACCGCATACTGAGAGCTAGGGAGCCATGATATTTGGTAAGCAGTGGTGTGAACCCATTTTCAGGTTGCTATAAGAATAGCGTACATCCCACTCCACATGAGCCATGAAAATTGATGTCTTTGGAGCCACAGTTGAGTTGGCGGTGGATTGTATGTTTACCTAGCATGTATGAAACCCTGAATTCAGCCATATACACACACAGTCGTGGAGTTCCTATTTTCTTGTCTATTGGCCCCTGTAATTTCTTTTGACTTCTACGGAGCTGTGAAAAGCTGTTCAAAGCCACAAAACCAAAAGGGGAAATGGACTTGCCATGGCCATACAGTGATGAATTATTGGTGAATCACTCAGATCGACACACTGCGAGTTCTGATGCTCCCACTTTATGGGATGAGAGGGAGGAGGTCTGCCTGCCTGGGTCCTCTGGAAAGATTGTTAACTGACACTGTGGCCACTGTGTATGGGCCCTGTTCACTTGTGTGTACATATGGACAGACTGTGCTTGCACTGATGTATACCTGCATATAGAGGTCAGAGGTCAATATCGGATGTCTCCCTCAATCACCCTCCATCTTATTTTCTGAGACAGAGTCTCAATGAACTTGCAGCTCACTGATATAGCTGGAGTACCTGCCCTGATAACTCCCAGGAGCCTCCTGTTTCTGCTTCCCTGGTGCTGGGATTACAGGTACACCTGATTTTGATGTGGGTACTGGGAAGCCAACAGTAAGCATTTCCACAAATGGAGTCTTTCCCCAGCCCTGTAGCTGTCTCTTGTTTGATTGGTTGGTTGGTTGTTTTTGTTTTTCAAGACAGGGTTTCTCTGTGTAGCCCTTGGCTGTTCTCCTAGACCAGGCTGGCCTCAAACTTTGCCTCCTGGATGCTAGGCTTAAAGGTGTATGCCACTATGTCTGACTCCTGTTGTCATCTTCTGAGGACCTGACAGCCTCTGCTCTTCTCTCTAAGCTGGGCTTGTGGCTTCTTGCAGCCCTTGAGCTCAGGCACAGCGGCGAACAGTGGGGGAGGAACAAAGAGAGGCCTGTCGTGCCCTCCCAGCTGGAATCTGAACATTGCATCCATTCCCACTCTCATTCCCTGTCCTCTCCAACTGGGCAGAGCCCAGAACACCCTCCCTGCTGTGCCCTGCCAGCTCCTGGGACTCCTCTCCTAAAGGGGTTGAAAATGCCCTGTAATCTTGTTCTCTAAGCAGACAACAGCCCTTGACAAGCCTCTGCCACCTACTGGCCACCATGACAAAACACTTAATAAATTACATACATACTGGGGTAGAAATAAGTTGCTGGTGGGATTATCAGGATTTTTTTTCCCTGGGTCGAAGCTGTATTTGAAAAGCTACCCTCTGGCTGGGTGGTGGTGGTACATGCCTTTTAATTCCAGGAGTGGGGAGGCAGAGGCAGATGGATCTCTATAAATTTGAGGTCAACCTGATCTACAGAGCTAGTTCCAGAACAGCCAGGACTACACATAGAACCCTGTCTCTAAAAACAACAAAAATAATAAATAAACAGGTTCCACAGAGAGCATGGCATGAGCTGAGTTGAGGGCCTGACTCATAAGTGATGTCAGTGCCTGGCACACAGAAACACCCTGTGGATTCTGGAAACGTGTCTGAGAATATGCCATTTCAATCTCCAGTTTTGTTGAGAGTTTCCTGTTATCAGGCCTGGCTTGGGGTTACTCTCTGCCCTGTCTTGTCATGCCCAGTGAATGGAAAATCTTTGCTTCTGCCATTACTGGCCTGTGGCTATAGGTCACCACACCTCCCCATCCCTTAAGAAATGTGGAGGGTACAGTTGTTTCTGTTGCTCTTTCCATCCCATCAGGAGCAGGATTTCCACCTTTAGAGGCATAAAACATACCTTCTGTAAAGAGTCACCCCCCCCCCCTCATATAAAA